GGCCATCGGTAGGGCCAATGAGCAAGGAAAGCTAACCCCCAATTAGGAAGGCCCCTATCGGATTTTTGATGAAGTTAGAGGCAGCACCTACCGCCTAGAAACTCCAGACGGCAGGCAGCTAATAAGAACTTGGAATTTAGATAACTTGAAAAAGTACTACTTTTAAAGACTTGTAAATCTTTGTAAATAGAGTATATTAATGAAAAGATGCTTTATTTATGTTTTCTTCTGCAGTCCAATTTGTGCAATGCAAACCGGACATACGTCTGCTTTAAATTGAGTAGATATAGACTAAGTCTCAAACTTAGCAGTTATTTATAAGGCTAATGGTCGGATAGCCTTTAAACCGTCTGCTCCAATATGAGCAGGTAACTGGCGACGCCCATTTGGGTGAATTCGTCGAAGAGAGCATCTCCCATTTGGGTGGTACATTGTTCTATAAATCATAACTCAAGCGGCTTTAACCTACTGTCTAGGTTAAAGATAACTTACGGCCGTTTGAATAATCAGTTGAAGCCTAGATACAACCGGTCGTTGCTTCAACGCAACACAAACGGTAACTGATATCTTGGTCAAATATAACCGGTCTTTGCCCAAAGGCACTACAACCGGTTACAAATCCAAATTAAGCAAGGTCAAAACCTTAGCAATTGATTCATAACCTGGTTAATATGCCTACGCCCGGCCAATGGCCGCTTGCATCTTTACAACGGCGATGACAGATACCCAAAGGGTAACTCGTAGCCGATTAAACGAATAATCTAGGTTGGCCCTAGCCGACACCGTCTGCTAATCCAACTCGAGAATAATTCTACATTTAATATGGTCAATGACCATCTGTCTACCCGTCCGGATGCTTGATTGGACGGCTGGCTGCTTAAGGTTGGGGCAATTCCAAGCAAACAACCGTCCAGGGGCAGGTAAAGCCAATGCATCCGGCATACCGCATGTGCTTGGTTAAATTGCAAAAAGAAAAAGATTTGTACGAGCATACTAGAAAAGTTGCAAATATTAAAGTAGTTTATATCAAAGGCAAATATGGGCAAAACCGACTCAGTTGGCAAATTCTATTAATAAAAAATCATTGTCAGCCAGAACTACGTCCGGGGAAAAGAAAAATACATAAAATACTCGGCTCACAGGCTAGAGATAGAAAGAAAACCAATCAAGATTCACTGTTGCCGGCGAGGTTGAGACGTCTGGCCCTGGCCGGATAGAGGAGCATCTTGAGTTTGCTGGGTTGAGCTTCATTAGCCTTATCCGGCGCTCGTTCTTCCGCCTGCTCCTCTTCATCTTCCTCGACAATGCCAGCCTATTCATCGAAGGGAGCCGACTTCTCAAGCCCAAGGGTTTGAGCGTCGTACACCTTCGGTGGCGTACTTGTACCTCAGCTCGAAAAACGCCCATTCGGTGTCCAGGTGGATGAGGATCCAGGCCATTTTCATGCGAGCCTCATAGTCCCGCTCGTTCTCAGCAACCAGCCAGTCCTGCTCGGCTTCCAGCTTGGCTTTGTGATCAGCCTGCGTCTAGGCCAACTCATTCTTCAGCCGCGAGACGTCTGCCCTCAGTTGGGTGTTCTCCTTGTCGGCATCTCCCAGCGCTTTGACGTCGTGGAGGTTTTTAATTTGTAGCTCAAAAATCAATCGCCTTCTTGTTGGCCGTTTCAGCAGCCGCAGTGAGCTCCTTGATTTTCTCCTCCTTTTTCATCTCCCGGCTTTTAGTTTGTATTTCATACATTAAAGTGTTGTATTGAGTAACGTCAATAAGGTTAGTCACCCGCCTATTGGCGTTTCTTACCTTCTCTCCCTTCTTCCTTAAGGGAACCTTGAGGTCTTCTACTCTTAACATCACCTGCAAAACCAGCCGGAAAAGGGTTAGCCTCTCAATTATGGTACAACTTGCAAAAGAGTAAATTGTACAAAAGCACCCCAACCGACCAATTACCTCAGCAAGCAGCGAGTTGATGCGGTCAATGTTGACCTGGTGCACACTTGGCACCGCCTCTTTTTCGGATCGGGTGAGGGTCCTCAGCACCCTCTTAGCATATTGTTAGAGGTCAGGCCAACGAGAAAAGACATTTGCATCAACAGATTTATTTGTTGGGTATTGAGCATAGGCGGCACCTACATTCTGCCGGCTGCCTGAAGAATCTCCTGATTGGGTAGCTTGGGACTTTACTCGCATAGGCCCTGACGGCCAGGCGGGATCAAAGGTGAAAGCCAAACCTTCATTTTCAGGCTGAGGGGTCATCCCACCCCCAGCCGCATTGGAACCGATCGCTACAGCAAGCTGCCGGCTTGAGGGAGTTTTAGGCTCCCTCGTCTCAGCATCAGCCGGCCCTGTGCTTAGGCCAAGGTCTTTCAGGCTTTTGCCTGCTGAGGTGGGCCTTTCAGGCATAGGCGGCCTTCCAAATGAGGGAGGGGCAGTGGGAGTCCTGCTGGACTTGGAAGGTGGCTGGGAGGGCCCCTCGCCCGGTCTTTTTAGCATCTTGGTTAGGGAGCGAGGAACATTCTTGCTCCCCGTCTGAAACAGAAACAATGCAACCGGTAATATACAAACGATAATATCAGCCGGAGCTTACCCCATCATCCTTGGCCGCCAGTTGGGTCCTTTTCTTCTCTAATTGATCATTCCGGATTTGAGCAGCAGACTTAGCAGGCGTCTTCTCTGGAGGCTCAATCTCTAATCCTTTCTTTGCAAAAGAAGAAAATCAAAGTCAAAATCCATTCAAGCGTGATACAGACGGCATAAAGTGCTGGTTATCAATCAACATACGTCTGGTAAACATTGTGCTAAGGCCACAGGTGGAAAGGAACGCCTCGTCCTTTAGCCAGTCCGATGAGGGACCCAGTTCTTGGGGACAATGACTTTAGTCCCATCATCCAAAGGCAGGGAGGTTTTCTTGAAGAGCCCCGTCTCCATTATTTGCGTCCAAACCTCTTCCGGTACTCTAGGAAGGGCGCATTTCTTTCCAAGGAGAGCGGGGTGCTTACTGTAGTAACGCAACCGGTGGTTTAGACGCAACGATGGGGAAGAAACCAAGTAAAACTTGCTCTTCCAACTGCTCCACTTTGACGACTTGTCAAGCGTCATCATGTATTTCGGATGCGTGGTCAATGTATATCACGCATTCCAGCCGTGCCGCGGCTGAGGTAGTGCATATGTGCAAATGCCTCCCAGCTAGGCGTTATGTCCTGCATCTCGCAGGCGGCAATGTATCCTAATATATTCACCCAAGAATTGGGTGTTAACTGCCAAATACCAAGGTCGTAGCCTCTTAGAATGGCTTTTATTGTATTATGAAGGGGGAACCGGAGGCCGGCTTTGAATGCCGCCTCATAACAGCCGAAATAGTCGTCGGCATGGTTAAGGTCATCATTCCAGACGACGGTTGCCTCTACAGGCGGCACCACAATTTCCCATCCTTTCCCAACCGGGCGCTTTTGTAAAAATCCGGGTAAGGTGGCGTTTAGAGTAACAACATCCCTGACGGTCATGTGCGCCTCTGTTGGATTATTGGTGAAGGGCCATTTATACGCCTCCTCATCCTCTTGGGGGCATCTGGTTCCAAGATAGACTCTGAATAGTCTGATTGTTGGACGATCTCTTCACCACCTATATCATCATACTCTTCCAAGATATCATCATTGGGCGTGCTAGGTACACCCGGATGGTCATAATGTACAATGTCAGCCGGAGCTTCGGCTGAGCCGTCTGATTGGTATTTGGGGTCTACAGCCGTCCGTCTCGTCCGAGCCTCTATTCTGCACATGAACAGAGACGGTCGAATTCGCAGAAGAGTAAGGGTGGGCCAAATACCCCTAGACGGTATCCCCAGTCCTAGACTAAGCCGTATCCGGTGACCGGCTGACAATTGTCCTAAGTTGTGCCGTGTGTGTGTTGGGTGAGTCCATTATTCCTTACAAGCTATACAACCGGAAAAAACTAAAAAAGTTGCAAGGGGTAGAGACGGTACCTTGAAGATACTTTGAGTGTGGGGAAAGTTGGCTACGTGGATCAGCAGTCAGAAATCTCTGTATTGCTTGCTAGATACCCAAACGGTTGCCCGGATGTACCCACTTGAAGAGCAACTGAAAATTGCTGAACAACCCAAACGTTCCTTTGAAGTGTTGCTTGATGATACCCCACACGGTTGACCAGCTGTGGGTGTATTGAAAGCAAAGGGAATCAGTCGAAGGACCCCCAGGCGGTTCTAATGTGTTTTGGGTGATGAGCACCTAGACGGTGACCGGTTGAGTAAAGAAAAGGAAGACGATTGCGCAAGAACTAGCAGCCGGTATCAAAGCGCTCTTTTTCTCTCAGAAAAATTTCTCAAAAAATGGCAAAGTGTTGAAAATGAGGGAGGGGAATCTCTACTTATAGAGAACCCCAGAAGGCGAACCGTCACCTTCCCAATTCAAATTCAAATTAGAATAAAAAAAAAGAGAGAGAGAGAGAGAAAGAGACGAAACTTCACCTCCTCAAAGCATGACACCTGCCACAGGTGCCACGTGGCAAGCCACGTGCCACCTGTGAGGGGCAAATGTTTAGGGTAAAACTACCCTGTCCACGTGGACCAATCATGTGCATACACGTGTTTTCAGAGGGGTCCTAAGAGAACCGATCCTCTGGTGACACGCGGCACTCCAACCCATGAAAGGGGAACTGATCCCCTTACACTATAAATAGAGAAAAATCCTCATTTATTGCATATTGATTCATATACACACTAAACCCAAGCAATATTAATTGCAGAATTCTCTCTCCAAGAGAAAAACCTTTATATTCCACACTTTTATACATCCGGATATGTACTAACTTGATCGTCGAAGGCGGAACTCCACCCAACCGGAGTTTTCCGTGGTTTTGCAGGTACTGATAGTTGACGCACATTCTTGGAATTGTAACTCTCCCGAAGGATTCCAAAAACCCCGAAACATACTCCGTATTTGTATTGACATCAATTTATCTAATATATGTATGTGTTTCTTGTTCTATAGGAAATGAAGCAAGATCTGGGCCAAGAATGAATCTTATGGTAAGTACTGTTATCAATTTTTTTTTTTTTTGGGAGAAAGTACACGAAAATTAGAAGTTTTAAACCCATACTTCAAAACCTAAAGGGATGTATAGTACAAAGTAAAATCTCTCTCCATACCTTTTTTTTTTTTTTTTTCCCATTCAATATTACTACGTATCACCGTATGAGATAACCACCAAACAATTCAAATGGATAAGTTAATTAGCCCAGTGTACTTAAGTCATTTAAGCCTTTAATAAGGTTTCAAAGGTTTGAGAGGTTTCATCTCAAAATCATATGACAATAAGACTAGCCTTAACCTTATGTAATGTTGAACTTTCTTTTCTTTTATCAATGTGGGAACACTTACATTTATACAATCAAACAGTGATGTAAAGAGTAATTAGGAAGAAATTAATCGGTACTACGCCCTAGGATCATAAGGCAATTTTGAATTTCTCAGTTGTATATAAATTTGTAATGATATCTCCTTTCATAACATTTGAATCCAGGGATATATTATTGGGAATCCGTCAACGGATAATTACTTTTCAAAGCATGCAATCGAATATGCTCACCGTATATCTATACTGTCGGATGAGCTTTATGAGGTTAGTAGTGTTAGTACTTAATTATCAGCATGTTTGTATCACTATTTGAAACGCTTTTTTAGGTTGCCGTTTGTACAATGCAATGGTAATATGTCAACAAATATTTACTTCCACCGTTTTTATTTACTTGCAACGAACACTTCGACTTATACAGTATTCACATACTTACTTTGACTAAATTTGATGAATTTAAGGTAATATATATTCATGTGTCCTGGGATCTTGCTACCTTCATCTTGATTCATACTTTCATAACATTAAATTTATATAATGTTTATTTTTAACAACTAATTAATTACAATAGTGATTAAAATAATATATTGGCAAACATGTAAAGAGAAGTGTTACAAATAATAGAACGGAAGAAATACAAGGCAATCATCAAAGGATAATACTAGGCCAAGTAGTACCTGGTCCAGTAGTAAGGATTTAATAAGGATTATACCTCGTAAGATTTAGGCCTAGTAGTAACTCAATTAGGCCTAAGTAACATTGGTACACCATTTAGCCTTGTTTACAAAAGAAAGAGTTGGATTACTTGAGAATTTCAAACTATTGTTTGTTTCTCTATTTGAAAATATATATATACTTGCCATGAATAATCACTTTGAATGAGGCATTTTTAATGTAATTCTATTGTTGTGTTCTTTGTATTATTATCATTTCACTAATGCATCATATATATTACAATTTTTAGTCGGCCAAGTCAAGTTGCCATGGCTACTATCAGCCGATTGTTGCCGAAGGAAATGAACAGTGCAAAGAGAATCTCGAAGCTATATCAAATGTAAGCTACATTCAACAAATCACACACAAAGGACACAAAAATGATATGTTTTACACTAGATCGATTGGATACGATTAGCTCTAGTTACATACCTAAATTAATTAGTCTGTAAACGTTGTTTTAATGCCTTAGAATGAATATGTTGACTGAACCTAAAAAATCATTTGTAATATATATAGTTTAATAGGTTAATCTAATTCAAAGTGTGGAATATAGTTCGTTCCATACGTACATGTGTTGTAAACTTAACTATATCGGTCTATCTCATGTACTAATATCTAAGATCTGCGATTTGCCTATGCAGTGCATGGATCCAGTAGAAGAATCATTTATCCTGGAATCCAAATGCAATGTATCAACACCTGATAAGTGGTGTCGGGTCGGTATTGCTTAACTTCCCTCTTTCGTTCACAATTTTTCAGAGTTGAAGGGGCATAATTTAAGTACTTCATCCGTTTTTAAAAGTTTTTTTTATTTGTTGACTTTGTTTGTTTGTGAGATAATTTATGTTCAAAATGGAAAAACTGCCACAGACGGAAAGAGTAGACTTTATGTGATCAATAGCAAATTTATGATATTGTACTATTTGTGCGTATTTGTGTGTGTGTTTATGGTGGTGCAGGTATACTATCGTAATCGCATGTCTCAACCGTGGGCAAATGACATTAACGTCCAAAAAGCTCTTCATGTTCGAGTGGTATGTAATTGATTCAGAAATAGGATCTCCTGAAGTCTTGTATAGTTTTTCCCATAAAAATAAAAATACTTTCTAATTTTAATTTTTGTACACCTCTTTTGAATTCTTCTTCCACACTCACACTCAGGTGTGTCAAAATTTCGCAATTATTAGTAAAACTAGTTTGGTTCCATGCATGCACAGATATTACTAGTAGGATATGCAAGAGCGAGGTATCATTTTAGGTCAGCATGAATTATTTATTGATTTTAGTACTAAAATTCTTCAAACATCATTCTAATCTTGATAATCATATATATCAATGAACGTTCCAAAGATTAGTACTTTGATTAGATTGTTGTTGTACTATTATCATGTTGCCCTGTTTTGCGGTCTAATCTTGAGATTGATTGTGTTTAGGGAACAATTAACAAATGGTTTCGCTGTCGCGGTCGTCGTAGCGATGATATATTTGAGTACAATTATGAAATTGAAAGTAGCGTTAGTTATCATCAAAATCTTACCACCAAGCCTCTTAGGGCACTAATCTTCAGGTAATTCATATATACTCTCTATTTGTAAATTGTGCTTTACCCATGAAACTAGTCCAATATCTAACCATAAAGTTGGGGTTAACGAGAATCGAACCTCTGGTCTACTAGTAGGATGCCTTATTGCAAGGCCATAAATGATCTAAGTAACTTGCTAGTTATAACAATTACAATACTTCGTATTATTATCTCATATACACTACCTTCATCTCACTAAAATGATTAGATTATCTTTCACTAGTATTTCGTCTATTCTTTTGTAGCTAACATATTTCGACTTATGATAGCACTCATAAAATTTATTTTGAGTAGCATTTGTGATTTACAGTTATGATTAAACAAAATCATATAGGATCTTATTTGAATCTTCTCAATTTATATTTTATTAATGGATATCAACTTTTAATAATACGAAGAAATATATTATATTTATAGCATTTTTATTTATTATTATTAAACTTGTGGCATTAACAAATGTGGTAAAAGAAACATATCAACTATAACAGAAAATTAGTGCAGTAGATTGTTACAGTATCCAATTAATTGGACATTGGTTCGTTACATTAACTATGCTTACTGGTTGACTTTGTTTAACAGTGGTGACCAGGATATGTTGGTTCCATATATGTCAACATTGACTTGGATCAAAAAGCTAAATATCGCCTCAAAAGATGATTATTGGAGGCCTTGGTTTTTTAATGGCCAAGTTGGAGGGTAAATTAAGTTCCTACAAAATCTCTCTCTGCTTATTATTTGAAATTGTCTTTTGAATTATTACTTTATTTTTTGGGGGGTAAGTAAAATACATCAGGGTCTTCTCTATAGACTGAACCTTAACTTATTAAGTGAAATAAAAGAAGAGAATTTACGATCTAAGTGGATCTATATCTTGATGAGTGTGGCAAAAGTGATCTAACGCTACAACATAATTACACAAACTTTTATATGTGGCTGGTCACACCGTGCGGTGTGGCCAGCCACATATATTTTTATTCTTTTTAAGAATTGTCGGGGTTACTCGATCAATTTGGGGTTAATTACTTATTCGATTAGAGGTTACTCAGAGGTTACCTGGTTAGGGGTTACTCAGTCAAGGGTTACTCGGTCAGTCATGGGTTACTTGGTCCGGGATTACTTGGTCAGGGGTTACCTGTCAAGGATTACTTGTGTGTTAGCTGGTTATGCGGTATGGCCAGCCACACACAAAAGTTGCTGAAACTCAAAAGAAGCTATGTGTAAAACTAAAAATAAACCAATAAGAATCTTTTTATTTATCTTGTTTGGTCTGTTGTGTTTTTTTACTTAGTTTCCACTTTTTCATCAATCCTTTTGAAGGAAACTATAGGGGACAAATCTATACTTATTATATAAAAACTCAAACCAATAGCGTTAAATGTCATCGTTCTCTTTAATTAATTTTTTTTAACAAAAAAATACTCTGTATTTTTATTGCTAATTCAATCTAGGCATTTAATAATGTTTCTTTCAAATTCTCTAAAACTTAATAATGTCAATGAATACATATCATATTTAAAAAAATATTAATTTCAACCCAAGTTTATACAACCTGTGCATTGCACGGGCCAAAAGCTAGTATTAAAATATCACCCCATGCCACTTGTTGTCTCGTGTCCCTGCCAACAATGTCACAACCATAGCAAAAATAAAAAAAAATTGAACTCCTATGTGGTTGAGGTGTAAAGACGGTTGTGGGCCGTGCTTCATGTTGAAGCCAACCTCCTGCTTTGGGCTTAGTTAATTAGGAACTATCTCACAAGCTATGTGTCATACCGAAAGTTTGAATAGGTTGGCTCACGTACGATCCAAGCCCACATGCCATTATGCTGGGACGTGTAAGTTTTGGGTGCCTAAGCCAAATTCCATTGGTTTAGCGTGCTTCGTTGTGCTTCTTTCAAATAAACGCGGCCAAGGCTAAGCACGCACAGTAACATGTCGTGTATGCCTATACCAAGTGCCTTGTACACCGTGCTTTTTTTTTTTTTCTTGTGTCGAGTCGTACCATGCTTCAGACCGCTAGAGCCTAATAATGCCATCTTTATTGAGGTGTCTAATTAAGTTAGACATTTCTACCATGGCGGTGGCATCTAATAAAGTTATTTTTCGTTGCGATCGTGAGAGAGCAGGTGAGTGAATGTACGATAGTCAGTGGCAACTAATAGTTGGTGGTTTGGATGAAGTGAAGAGTGGTGCTTCTATGATATGGCGGTCAGTCATGGGAGTGGTTGGTGACTTGGTGGTGTTGGTGGCTAGTAGTGGGTGGTGCTTGACAGCTTGAGTGTGGTGGTGATTAGCAATTTTTTTATTTAATTTGATATTGTAAGGAAGTAAGGGTATTTTGGTCATTATGTATATGATGTAAGTAGTTATATTATAGACTGAGAATTTCTTGTTTCATACAGATATGTTACAGAATATTCAAATGGCAACTACAGTTTGACCTTTACTACAATCAAGGTATAAGCATTACTTAAACTAATCCTTTAAATTTCTAGAAAACAAAAATAAAAAAAAATATAAAAAAAAAACTAATCCTTTAAATACTCATTTAGTAATTGATATGTACTAAACTTAAATTATATTTGCTAAACTTAAATCATTTTTAGTACTTTTGCCAAACTTAAATAAGCTTTTTATAATTAAATTATTTTTGCTAAACTTAAATAGCTTTTATTAATAACAAATTATTTTATTGATTATATATTATTTGTTCTTTGGAGTTATTGAATTTTACTAATTAAAACTTAATTTCACTAAACTTAACTTATTTGTATTGAAATTAACTTATTTTTACTAAACTTCTTGAATTTTGCTGAGCTTAACTTAATTTTACTGAATTAAATTTATTACCTTTTTTCAGAACTAAATTTATTTTTACCGAACTAAACTTATTTTTATTAAATAATTAGATAACATTTTTATTGCTTTACTTAGTAACGCTAGCCAGACAAATTTCACAGTTCATTAATCTCGTTTTAGTTAGAACAATTAATACTTAGTCAAATTGCTAATTTTGTAGGGAGCGGGACATATTGCCCCTGAATATAAGTCGCAAGAATGTTTAGCAATGTTGCAAAGATGGATTGCATTTAGCCCTCTGTGATTTAAATTATCAACATTGATGTTTGTTGAATTTTCGCCTACCTTGTAATTTTTGAAGTTTAATAGATTTGTGTAACTACGTATATCCATTCCTAAAAGGCATTGTAAAGTTAAGATCGATGCATTATTTGTATGATTCATGAAAGCAATAATGAAACATTATTTTACTAAAAAACTAGGTTAAATCCCGAAGATGCACGGTTGTTAAATACTTTTAATGACAACAAATAAAAACAGTATGAAATTAAGGACCAACACACCAATTATTAAAGAGTATGAAGTATAATTTAAAAAAAAAACCACAAATAATAGTTATAATAAATAAGTTAATATTTTAGTTTAGAGTTTATGTAATGCGAATGTTATAATTTAGATACAATCCTTTTTTTTTTTTATTTATTTATTTTTTTTTTTTTTTTTGGTAAGAATATTTTTTTGTAAGAATAAGGTTTTTTTTTTGCAAATACTTTTGGAGGGAAAATTTTTAGTTTAACGCTGTCATGTGTTTCTCTTGTTTCACATTTAGTAATGTGTAATATGTAATAAATTTGTCAAAAAAGTCCTTTTAAATGGTCTACTTTGTGAGAAAAGGTTCTTTTGTGTGTGTGTGGGGGGGGGGGGAGATTAGGATCCAATGAGAAGGATGAAATGTGCACAAGTTTTTCACTAAAGGTGCATATTTTTTTCACTAAATGTGCAAAATTGATTTTGAACTAATAAATTTTTTTGATTTTTCTGGAAAATCAGAAAATGTGCACATTATGTTCAACATTTATTTACATCGAATTTGGGTCAAAAAAGTTCCTTACATCCCATTAAAGTTGTAAGGAGGTCCTTTGACCGGATTTCGACGATTGATTTATTTTCCGGCCACTAACCATCACGTGTCCAACATATGACTTTAAAAAAATCTCTTTATTAAGGATATTATTTCTGAGCCATGCTCGATATTTGGAATTAATAGTAATTGTATATAAGTCTCTTAAAAATGTAACTTAATGATCATCACAATAATTTGAATGATGAACGTTTTAGGAAAATTACTAAATCTGCAATAAAGAAAAAGAACCATACATAGAGTTTAAGAAGGAAAATTCCCTTAAAAACACCACTTTAATATAGGTATATAGATAAATACATCACAAATTCTTATATGTGGCTGGCCACACCGTGTGGTCAGTTATTATAGTGGTTACTATTCGTTAGTGTTATAGGGGTTACTTGGTCATTGTTAAAGGGGTTACTTCCTCATGGTTATAGGGTTATTCGGTCAATGTTATAGGAGTTACTTGGTCAATATTACAAGAGTTACTTGGTTAGTGTTATATGAGTTACTTTATTTTTATATAAGTGGCCATACGGTGTGGCCATCCAAACATAAGACGAGCTGTAAATACATAATGATGATTGAAATTATTAGGCAAATTAATGAATCTAGGAAAAAAAATATATGGACTTTAGAAGGGAAATTTCTTTTTAAAAAGGAAAATTGTAATCTAATAATCCCACCTTTAGTCGGTCTTCCATAAACAATCCCACCTTTTGAAATTTTAGAAACAATCCCACCTTTAACATGGATCTTCCATTAACGATCCTTTTGACCTATTACCGGTTAAACCGGTCAAACTTTTTTTATTTTTTTAATTCATCGTTGAGATCAAGGTCTGTTTTTTGTTTATTTATGCCATGGATTTGCTACTATTCAATTGATTTGCTACAGTTTTTACATAATTATTAATTAGATCCATTTAATTAAATTTAAGTTTATATTAATTGAGATCATTAGAGATTTTGAATTGGATTAGATGGAAGAAACCAATGCCTCTGTTTTGATTGATTTCCTGGGATTAGATTGGTGAGCTGTTTGTTATCACGATTCACGATTGTGGGTTTATGCTTAGAGCGTTTATATAAAATTATTATTTTCAATTATCTTTAAAAATTGGAGTTAAAATCATAATCAAGAAATTAGAAAATATTAATTAATTTCTCACTCTTTCTTCCTTGCAATCTGTTACCTGTTCTTACATTTATATACGTTTATTGTGTTATTTTCCGAGTTCACTGTGATTGGCACACCTTAATCCATAGGAGTTATGATACTCCCAAAATGGCAACCCACCACCTTCTCGAACCCCGTGCCCAGTTACAACCACACAATGAGATTCAGCCTTTCAATCTCTGTCTTCAAATCTTCATGATTTATCCAAATAAAGGATAATAAATCTTTCACTCCTCTTCCTTTTCAAATATAGGCTCTGTTTGTTTGGTTGAGTGTAAGATATTTTCAATCTTCATTATTTCGCTTGTGAAATTGTACGGTATGAATGAAATTGAATCAATCCAACTGCCATGATTGAGCTTAATTAAACCATTGATGAAAGATGTTGATGATGCGTGGTGATGATGAAGTGCACTACCAAGAAGAAACACGTGTGGTGATGATGATGCGTGGTGATGATTGAATCAATCACTCGCCCATTAGGGTTGTCGGGGAAGAGATGATGCCTGAGTTGGGTTGTCGGGGAATTGAAGGAATACGGCTGCTACAGTGATGTGGAGGGGCGATGATGACGCCTGAGTTTGGTTGCCGGGAAGGGATGCGGCAGTGGTTTTGTTTTTTTTTTCTTTTTTCTTTTTTTTTTTCTCTTTTTTTTAATAATTGGAAAAAAATAGAATAAACCTATTAAACATCGACACGTGTCATAAAACCTAAGAAAACCGGTTACCAAAACGATTCAATCGGTCAGGGATCGTTAATGGAAGATCCATGTTAAAGGTGGGATTATTTCTGGAATTTCAAAAGGTGGGATTGTTTATGGAAGACCGACTAAAGGTGGGATTATTAGATTACATTTTTCCTTTTAAAAATCACAACTTCAATACAGGTATATTGATAAGGGAATTGAATTTTTTTTATTTTTTTTTTAATTTTTATGGAAATATAAGATTGTAAATAGTTACAAATAGACATGGATAATTTGGAATATGTAAACATATTTTATATGAAAAATAAATAATCTAGTATTATGGTAAAATTATGTTAAATAAAAAATTAAAAATATTATGGTCCTCAGCTTGGGAGGAACTTGTCTCCCTCGAAAGAAGAATTTTTCTCTTGAGAAAAATAAGGATTTATCTATCTATTTCTAATGACAATGTTTTTCCACCTCATTAAAGACAAGGTGTTTTATGCGCTTGAAATATTCTCGGCTATGCGGGGCTACAAATGATTGTTCGAATTCAAGCTACAAAATCAATTCAAGAATTTTTCTTCCTCCCAAAATTATGAAACGATGACGGATCCACGCAAAAAGTTGAGTCAATGAATCGGGAATATGTATGTCGAATTATTATATATCTTATGTATTTCGATTTTTAGCCTTTCCTGGCTAATTCTTGTTTGATTTTGTTTTCTTCGTCGTTAATCGTTAATTGTAGATGTTGTATTACTTTAATCAATGAAAATTAGTGTTATTTAGGACTTCTTAACAAATATATATATATATATATATATATATATATATATATATATATATATATATATAAACATATACATTATTTTAGAACACTCAAATAAAAACACGTGCCATAATTGGGTCCGGACGGATCACGGATGGAGTAATAATCTATTAACTATTACTAAAATAGGAAATTGCTGACATCATCATCTCCCCAAACTGTATACGTGTTGCTTTCTCATAAAAAAAATTCCCGCCTAATGCACTTATGATGTCATATATATTTTTGGTTATTTTTAATCATTTTCATTTCAATCTTTTGACTGTGTCAATAAATAAATAATAAATAAAAATTATTTTTTGGTAACTAAGAATATTTTTTTTTTAATTTTTATCTTTCTTAAGGTTTTAATATTATTTTGTGTATGTGTGTGTGTTTTTTTTTACTAAGGATTGTGCAAGCAACCTAACTATGAAGTCATGTACTAATAATATGGATGTTTGTTATACAAAAATGAACTAATGTTGTCGGTAAATGTTTTCATTGTTTTGTATTTCCAAGGTGCTTCTATTTATCTAAATTAAAAGTATTTTTAATTTGTATTTCGAACTCTTAGATGACATATAAATTTGTATGCATATGGTTTTATTAGATCAGATTGGTTGACTTTCATTTTTATATTTTGTTACTTATGTAATTTATGATGATAGATATGTTTTTATGATCTAATTTATAAGTATGTCCAGAGAAATAAATAAGAGAAATAAGTTATTTCATTATAATAATTTTTTTAATCCGTGCATCACACGGGCCTAATCTAGTATTAATAACATATTAAGAGAGTAGGAGACCTCCATAACTTTTCTTTGAACTTCTCTTTTATCTCTGGATTTCAAAATTTGTTCCTTCAATTTCCTTAAATTTCAAGAACCGAAAATGATGAAGATGAAATGTGTAACTAGTCTAATTATAGTTTTGGTATCATTTGCGTTGTCTAACAATTATCGTACCATTCTTAATACAAATACAAATACATTGCATTCAAATTCAAATATTATTGGATTTCTACCTGGCTTCCCTGGAATTCTCCCTTTCAACCTTCAAACAGGGTATGTTTTTATATATGTCAATTACTTCCTCTGTTTTTTTTTTTAATTGCATTATTTAGATATTTATGCTTGTTAATTCATACTTTATGCTACAAATTATATGAAAAAAGTTGTAAATTTATGTGTCTTTTGTTAAAATTGCTTTTTTACAAAACTATATTTTCAAAATTACTTTCAAACTCTATCTACTTGTGGTTAAAAAAAATATATAACTACTTGTAATTATAAGCTCATATACTCTTATGCATATTGATTAATTCTTTTTTTTTTTTTTTTTTTGTATTATATTTCAAATGGTGAATTATTTTTTAACTATAAATTGTACATTGAATCAGTGGCGGAGCCACATTAGAACAAGGGGGGACAGTTGTCCCCCCATTTTCGGAAAAAAAGTTTTTTTTTAAAAAAAAAAAAATCAAGAAAATACAGTAAAAGGCTATAAATAACATATACTTACAGTAGATATCACAATATTGAATATGGTTTGGTGGTTGAGTCCTTAGTAAGGCTGTGTTTTGGTCCTAGGTTCGATTCCCTACTCTACTGTTTTTCAGCTTTTTTGTTTTTTTTTCCCCTACTTCTTGTTTTTTTTTATTACATACTCTAATTTTCAACAACCTTTTTAATTTGATTTTTTATTTCCTATTTCTTGTTTTAGGATTTTTAATGTTATTTCTTATTTCCTACTTCTTGTTTTTAATTATCGCTTTAACTAAGTGTGCTTAAACTCAATTTTTTTTTTACATTTCTAATAAATAGATTACTATTAATTAATTGTTTGTAACTGTGTTTTAACGAAATACATATTAATAATATGATTGATTTGAAAAAGTTGAGTTTATTTTTTCGAATGTAACTCAAACCCTGGCCCTTCATATCTACCATCAATTTGTTTTAACGATAATTATTTGACTTTTTATTTATCAATTATGTGATTACATAACAGGATTTACAAATATAAATTTATTCATTTTTGTTGGATAATTTTCTTAATATACAATAAAACTTTTTTACCCCTCTTTTTCCATATAGAAATAATTGGCATATGTGATTTCAAATAAATATTAAACAATTTAGGTTATCAATTTTTTTCTTGAGATTTTTGCCGAAACTTTAACCTCCAAAATTTGTCCCCCCGAATTATAAATCCTGGCTCCGCCACTGCATTGAATTACAAAGTAGATGTATATTTTGGAAGAGGGGGTGGGGGGGAAGAATTAACACATATGATTGAGAATTTTTTTTTTTTTTTAATATTTTGTTTATGAACGCTACCTATTTTTAAAAAGTTAGATGTATAACTTAAAGTGACTCTGTCTCTAATTCGGATGTACAATGAAAGATTTATAATTCGAGTGTACAAGTACATATTGAGCACTAACTATTTTAACATTTATAAGAATGTCTTTCTCTTATAATTGTTTAAGAATTAAGTCATAATAAGTTTTACTACGTAGATAGAAGTGGTGGTAAAACTCTACACTAATTAATATGAGGTGATTAGTAATTAGTACTATCTTTTTTGTGTGGAAAAAATATTGACCAATAACAAAGCTCAGCATCAAGTTACTTGCCAACGTAACTCATGGTGACACATAGAGATATATGGCAAGAATTACCGTGGTCGTCCTTGGACTCTTGTAGAAATTTTAGGGTTCATACGAACCTAATTTGTGTTCTTCAAAGAATGTGAAAGAGTCAAGAAATGTGGAAAAGAATCTACAATTAATATTACTCCGTAAAAAATTGCATTAGATATCTTAAGTGTAGTCAACAAATGAGTGGGTTGGTATTAAAATTGGAGGGAGTGATTATAAGTGAGTAATTAAGAATTTTAATAAGGTAGTTGGGTTATTAATTGTAAGAGATTAGTTGTTATCATGTTAAGTAAGGGTATTTAAGTTGATTTGACTAGTACAACCTTGCCATACAAATTATAAGTCAAATAATACTATGACATTTTCGTTTTAGGAAAATTAGTTTAAGTAAGAAAAAAAAAAAAAGAAAAAATGAGGAATTTTATGAATATGTATTATGACATGGTTTAATGGCTAATGATTTATTAGTGTTTAATTTGAGATTGCGGGTTCAAATCTTGTTCATTGTTATAGAACGCTTTTAATATATACTTCATTAGATTAGACCCGTGCAATGCACTGATTAAAAAAATTATTGAAATGAAATAAATTTCTATTATTTATTTTCCCGTATATACTTATAAATCAGATCACATCATATCTATCATCATAAATTACATAAGTAACAAAATATGAAAGGATTAATACCGTTTTTTAATCCCGACTTTGACCAATTTATTTTCATTAATCCCAACTTTGGATTATTCCTCAATAATCCCAACTTTAAGGTGGCCTATCATTCTTCATACCCAACCGGTAACTAAACCTGTTATATCAGGTCACTTGACACGTGTCAAGTCTTGATTGGTCAAAAAATTAAAAAAAAATAACAAAAACAAAAAAAAAACCAACAGCCTCCCCGTCCTTCACCAGCCGTCGCCTTCACCGCCCCTTCCCCCACCAGCCGTAAGCCGCCACGTCTCCCCCTCCCACACAAGACCGCCGAGTCTTGCCCTCCCATATAAGACCGTCGGGTCGACGTTTTCCCCCCTCCCCGAAACCCCCTTCTATTCCCCCACGAAACCACCAAAGAAATCCCTCCCCACTGCCAAAAATTAGGGGTGGCAAAAGCTGACCCTACCCGATAACCCGACACGAACCCGACCTGAAAATAGCGGGTTAGGGTTGAGATTTTCGACCCGAAAACTTAAATGGGTCGACACGAACCCGACCTGAAAATTAAACGGGTTAGGTTAAGATTGAAAATTCTAACCCGAAAATGACCCATATAACCCGAAAAAATTATTGGGTCGAAATCAGGTCGGGTTAACCCGATTCCGACCTGAATAATCCGAAAACAAATCAAGAATAAAACATTTTAAAAAAACTCTAAAGTAACTAGCCCAAGCCCAAATTCATGTTCCTTATAAAAAGTAAAACCCTAAGGATCACTTTTATTAGATGTAGCCGCTGCTCCATACCCACTCTCTCTCATCTTCTCTCTTCAAGGGCTTCAAAGTTCAATCTCCTAAGGTAAATCAACTGTCAACATCAATTTTCTCTCTCTTCAACTCTCAAGAAATCAATTGCTAAATCCTTTGCAAGTTGCAAGTGCTCCTCCTTCATGTCTTCCTCTCCTTCACGGACATCAAGCTTCAAGTTGCAAGTGCTCAAACTTCAAGTGCTCCTCCCTTTCATTGGATAATGCTTGTTGTTTTTACTAATTTCGAATTATATTATACGTTATTGTACGTATTGTTTTGCTTTTAGATTTTTGTTGTTGTTCATATAAAATTACAAGTTTAATACACTTAAAATTGTTATTAATTTCTATTGTTGTTGTTTTGTTGATATAATGTATACGGTTTACATAATTTCAGGTCTTATTCATATAATCTATACGGTTCACCTTATTGAAGCACTTAACCTAATATCATATTATTATTTGAAGATAAAAATCAAGTCAGTTTAAAGCAACCTGATTTAAACCCAAAAAAAAAAAGGTCAAATAAGGTCAATTTCGGGTTGACCCAAACCCGAAAATATCAGGTTCAGGTTGGGATTTTCAACCCGAAAAGTTAAATGGATCAGGTTCGGGTTGGGGGGTAGCTGACCCGAAATTAGTCGACCCGAACACGAACCTGACTTGACCTGATCCGTTTGCCAGCCCTACCAAAAATCCCAAATTGCTCCTCCCACCACCACGAAACCTTAGCGGCTAGGGTTTTTGATGGTGGGGGAGGGATTTTTGGTGGTTTTCGAGAGTGGGGAGGTGGTCTTAAGGGGTTTTCGAGTGGAGGAAGAGGTTTCAAGGGAAGGAGTGGTCGCCGAAAAACGGGAAAGGAGATAAAGAGGGAGGTTGGGGAATCGCAGCAGGAAAACGGGAAAGGGAGATAAGGAGGGGGATATTAGCGGCGCAAGGAGAGGGGGAATAGCAGCAACTGGTGGTGTGGTTTTTGGGGTTTGGTTGTTGGTCGGAGTTGGAAGGGGTTTTATTGGTGGTCGGGGTTGGGGTTTCGGGGAGGAGGATGGTGGTTTATAGAGTAGTGGCTGGAGCGGTGACTCTAGTGGTGGGGGAGGGCCGGAGGTCCGACGAGGGAGGTGGCTGGCTGGGCGGGTTGCCAGATTGGCTGGGTGGTCAGGGCTTTGGCTGGGTGGGTTTTTTTTTTGGTTTTATTTTGTTTTATTTTTAATTTTTTAACCAATAAATTTGCGACACATGTCACTTTAACAAACAAAAACAAAATTAACCCATTCAACCGGTAACCGATTTTTGGGATTGAAGAAAGATAGGTCACCTTAAAGTTGGGATTATTGAAGAATAATCCAAAGTTGGGATTAATGAAAATAAATTGGTGAAAGTTGGGATTAAAAAACGGTATTAAGCCAATATGATCTAATTAAACCATATGCATACGAATTTATATATCTAAGAGTTCAAAATACAAATTAAAAATACTTGTAATTTAAATAAATTGAAGCACCTTGGAAATAGAAAACAATGATAACATTACCGACAACATTAGCTCATTTTTGTATAACAAACATCCTTAATTCCTTATTATTAGTACATGACTTCATTGCTAGGTTGCTTGCACAATCCTTAACAAAAAAAAAAAAAAAAAAAAAAAAAAAAAAAAAAAAAACCTTCGTAGTTATCTTTAAGGTTTTAGCTCAATATCACTTTATTCTTCCAACCATAAAAAAATTATTTATTTATTTATTGACACGGCCAAAAGATTAAAATAAAAATGATAAAAAAAAACCAATTCCTTAAAAAAAAAACCAAAAATATATATGACATCACAAGTGCATTTAGTAGGAAATTTATTTATGAAACAACAACACGTGTACAGTTTGAGGAGAGGATGATTTTAGCAATTTTCTGTTTTAGCAATAGTTAATAGATTAGTTCATAACTTTCTAATCTAACAAAATCATTGAGTTGGGTAGTTGATTATATCTTTAGCCACAAATACGAAGTATTTTATTTTAATTTCCTCCAATAAAAAATATTTTATTTAAATTCAAAGACGTACCAAATCGTTATACATTTTTTCCATTTAATGTGAACCGATCTTTTGTGCGCGGCTGTATGAAAGAGTGGTGTTAAGACTGTGAACCATTCTTTTGCTAATTTGTTAAACTTGTCTATTTATATTTTCAATAGTTGTTTTGTTAAATTTAATAACAATACAATTATAAATATTGTAACATGACATGAAAGGGACACAGAGTAGGCATAGCATGACACGCTATTGTGCACATTACACTAAATATGGCACTAGGCTAGGCCGGCCCGAAGCCCAGCACGAAAAAAGCACGGCACGACACGGGCACGGGCATGAAAAAAGCATGGTACGGCATGGTACTGTGCGTGTGGGCCATGGGCCGACTTTATTTGGAGAAGCACAATAAGGCTCGGTACGACTAGGCCCGGCACGATAAAGCATGCAAAAATCAATGCAATTTTGCTTGGTACGCAAGCCCGGCCCGGCACGGCACGATGGCGCGTGGGCTTAGGCTGTGCACAGATAAGTGCCATTTATGTCACTATTTTTTAGGATTTTCTAGTTAGTTTTTCATAATTTTGATATCTTTTTACTTGGTTTTAATAACGTTGCATTACATTTGTCGTGTTTGCATGTGAAATGTTATTATTGCTCAATTTTGGTTTTTTCTTGCATGTTTTGGTTGCTTCTTGCATTAGATTAAACTTTATTGGCTTATTCTTATGTTTGGGAACACTTGGATAAGTTCATTGCTCAAGATTGAAGAAATATAAAATATAATTGAAGAAGTAATGAAGAAATGTGCACTTGATTTGCAAAGATCGAGCTTCAAATGTCTATATCTTTAGATCTAAAAAATATTTTTGAGTGATTCCAATTGGAGATGAAAGCTTATCTCGAGAAATTTCCAACGACAGGTCATATGCATAATTTTGATGAAAAACGAGGGAGATATGTTCATTTGAAGCTGAGCAGTTTTACCCAGCTAGCACGATAGGAGCAGGCGCGCAGTCTACGAAGAGCGCCTGCTCCAAACAATCTGGAACGATTCTGCCTCCCTCTGCTGCAGCTAGGAGCACCCGTGCATTGACTTTGGAGCGTTCGCTCCTACAGTGTTGCTCGACTTTTTTGTAGAGCTTCCTAGGTAAAATAGTGGGGGTATAAATAGATCTTTTACTCATTTTGGAGAGTGAAATTCATTTTTTCAGTAGTTTTAGGTTGCTTCCTGATTTTATCTCTGGAAATGAAGGGTGCCCTCGTATGTAATCGCTAAAGCGAAGCTTTTGGATTGAAATTTTTCATCGAATATGGAATCCCCCCATGGGTGAGAAGGTTGAGTTACAAACTCCGTTGGCTTTCGCAAGAAAGCATCTCGAAAGTTCCGAAATCTATGGTTGATGTCTCACTCGAACTCTATCCCTTAATTTCTTCGTCCGAGCGGCCCCTCTAGGACACGGTGCGGGAAGGAAGAGGGGATTCTTTATACCATTAATTCGCAATAGTTAACCAAGCAGTAACCAAGAACAAAGAAGCAAGCCAAGATCAATGGGGGGTCGCCCCAGCAAAAAATGGTAAGAAGAGGTTTAGGTTTTTAGAGAGAGAAACTCTCAATTTTTAGAGAGAGAAAGTGAGAAACACAATGGTTTTCATGGATTTTGATAATCAAAGGAGGAATTTGATGATTTGAAGATCTCCATTTTATATCAATGAGCATTTCTTACTCTCTCTTCTCTTTATGCTTTCTTTAATTACTATGTTCATCATGTTTAAGTAGTTTTCCTTCTAATAGGTGTTGAGCGAAGTTTTGTAATGATTAATTGGGTTGTTTGAGATAAATGTGATGATAATTGGCGTGTATGTATGGGTTGCAACGGGTCTTCGATTGCGGAATTCAATCCCTAACTCTCTTTACGGATTCATACAATCTAGTGTCTCTTCTACGGGGGGATGGTCAGGGTTCTATTGACTACCATTGGCTTATCCAAAAGATTATATGTCTTGGCTCAGCCTTTTAGTATTGTAGTGTCCACAAGGCGGATCGACAACGAGTTCACCGCGCTCATCAAATCGTAGGAGAAGCAGCTGTTAATTTAAGTTGTTTTAGTACTGTGCAGTTTGTTTTATCCCTTGTCAAAAAAAATGGGAAATAGAAAGTAAGTGGTTCTTTAATATAATTGAGCCTCATAAAGTGTGGGTTGTAGTTAAGAAAAAACAAATAAAAAGTTGCTAAGGAAAAAAGGAAAATTAAATTGAACATAGGATAATGGATGAAAACGAAAAGTGGGTAGAACTTAGGAAACAAAGAAAGTAATTATATAATAATTGTTCAACGACAAAACAAAGTGAGATCATTCATAATTAGTTTTAGAATTGTGAAATTACGTAGGTTGCATGTTGAAAATTTGGTGTTTAATGCGTGCTTAGCTTGTACATTTTGGTATAGAAAAAATTGGTTTTAATAATTCTAAATTTGCCCTTTTTTTATTTATAATCTCAACTTTGAAGGTTGTTTTCTTTGATCAATCCCATACTAGTCAACAAAAGTCAACGACCTATTATAAAAGGTTACTATTTTTTTTACACGTATCAACCTGTGATTAGTCCAAAAAATAAAAAGAAAAGTGAAAAAAATTTAAAAAGGAAAACCCCCTGCCCTTCCCTTTCCCCCACCTCCGCCGCCTAACCTAGTCTCGTCGGCCCGCCGCCTTTCCTCACCCCAGTCATCGACCCTCTCCCTTCCCTCTTAAACACCATCCCCTCTTCCCCAAAACCCCATCCCATCCCCCCCAAGAAATTATTCATCCTCTACCCTCGAAAACCCTTAATTATTGGCCTTCCCCCTACCCTTGAAATCGGCGTTGGGCATCGGCGCGAGGGAAGGGTTACTCGAGTTATTACTGTGATAAATGGTTCGCACATTATTGTGATTTATATTGTTGTATAAGCTTTCAATATTGTGAATTAAATTAGAAAATTTTTTATATGTGGTTGGGGTTGCTCGAGTTATTCGATCAGGGGTTACTCGAGTTACTCGAGTTACTCGGTCATGGGTTATTTGAGGGATTCGGTCAAGGGTTACTCGGTTAGGGGTTTCTTGAGGGGTTTGGTCATGGGTAACTTGAGGGGTTCGGTCAGGGGTTACTCGGTCAAGGGTTACTTGAGGGGTTCGGTTTGGGGTAACTTGAGGGGTTCGGCTAGAGGTTACTCGGTTAGGGGTTACTTGAGGGGTTCGGTCAAGGGTTACTCGATCAAGGGTTACTTGAGGGGTTCGGTCTGGGGTTACTTGAGGGTTTTGGTCAGGGGTTACTCGGTCAGGGGTTACTTGAGGGGTTCGATCAAGGTTTACTTGAGGAGTTTGATCAGGGGTTACTCGGTCAGGGGTTACTTGAGGGGTTTTCGTTCAGGGGTTACTCGGTTAGGAGTTACTCGAGTAACCCTTGACCGAGTAAGTTGAGTAACCCCTGAGCGGGTAACTCAAGTAACCCTGGCCACACGGTGTGGCCAGCCACACAGAAAAATCCCCCATTAAATTAACTATTGTTTAAATTTTATAAAATTCAGTATTTGAACTTTTAAAACCATGCAATTGCACGGTTCTATACTAGTCTTGAAGCTATATCAAATGTGAGTATAATTTTATTTTCTTTTTTGACATTGAATGTGAGTACGATTTACCTTCAACAAATTGCACACAAAAATGATACTTTCTTTGTTTTTTTAAATGCATTACTTGGTGGGTTGAGCACAAAATTTAAGAAAAAAGTGTAAGAAAAAAATGGAGTATGTCAAAAGTAACCATGTGAAAAGAAAAAAAATAAAAATCAGAAAACAAATGAGAGATAGAAAAGGTAGTAATAATTGTTGTTATCACTTATCAGTCTAATCACAAGGATAAGTCGAGAATTTTGTATGTGAACACAATCAAAAGGAAATGGTATAATTAATGTGAAACTTTCCAAAGAGGAAAAATGGTGCATTTAAAAAATTAAAAAGGAGAAATGTGTTTTGCACTAGATAGATTGGATATGATTAGCTCTAGCTTACTAGATAGCTACTATATGTACTTAAGATAATTAGTCTGTAAACGTTTTTTTAAACCCTTAAAGATGAAGTAGATTATTATTGAATGAAGCCTAAAAAATCATTTGGAATAGTTTAATAGGTTAACCTGATTCAAAGTGTGGATCGAATATATATAGTTCGTTCCACACTTACATGTGTTGTAAACTTAATTATATCGGCCTACCTCATATACTAATATATAAGATCTGCGATTTGCCTATGCAGTGCTTGGATCCAGTAGAAGAATCATTTATCCTGGAATCCAAATGCAATGTATCAACACCCGAGAAGTGGTGTCGGGTATTGCTTAACTTCCCTCTTTTGGTCACAATTTTTCAGAGTTGAAGGGGATATAATTTAAGTACTTCATCCTTTTTTTTTCTTTTTTTCTTTTTTTTGTAAGACAATTTTGTTCAAAATGGAAAAGTTGTTGGAAACGGAAAGAGTAGACTTTATGTGATCGATAACAAATTTTGAATTTGTACTATTTGTGTGTGAGTGTGTGTTTTTTATGGTGCAGGTATACTATCGTAATTACATGTCTCAATCGTGGGCCAATGACATTAACGTCCAAGCAGCTCTTCATGTTCGGGAGGTATGTAATCGATTCATAAATAGGATTGTTCAAAGTCTTGTGTTTGGATTGAAGGAATGAAACTGAGGACAAGAAGGGAAGGAAAATGAAGAGATAGAATATCTTTTATTTGGATAACAAATGAGTAAGGAAAGGAATTTGAATAACAATGAATATATTTGAAAGAAAAACTCATATTTAATTCTTCCCTCCACTCCCTTTCCCTTCCCTCCCCTTCTTTTTCTTCCCTTTCTCTATTCAAACACTCTTAGATTTTAAAAGTAAGAAACTTGTTCTTAATTTTTTTACACCTTTTTTGAATACTCCTTCCAAACTCAGAATTGTCAAATTTTCGCTATTGTTAATAAAACTAGTTTAAATTGTGTGCATGCACAAGTGTTATTACTTTATTAGTAGGATATGAATAAGGCCAGCTATATATCACCATATCCAAATGAAATAGGGCCTCCAACAAATTGGGGCCCTCCAAATATATACTTTATATATAATGAAAATAGTATAGTGCACCAAGATGTACCATGCGCATGGTGCACCCGAAAAGAACATTAGGCATATTTTAAAGAACATGGGCGAAAAAAAGAACATATTAGTGTTTGAAAAAAAATATACCTATGTTTGATAAAAGAACATGTTTGTGTTTGACAAAGAATATGGCATTACAAAGAACATAAAGTCCTTACAAAAAGAACATGATAATACATTAAAGAACATGTTATCTTTCATGGTTACTCAGGTGGTTGAATGTGTTTGACAAAAGAACATGTTTGTGTTTGAAAAAGATAGAGGTGATCATTGGGCGGGCTGAGGCATGCCAAGCTTCGGGTCGGGACAAAAAAAAAACTAAAAATGCATAAAAACGCAATCTCAAACACGCCAAAATAAAAATCGCCCAAAACCTGTCCAAAATCAGGCTGGGCCAGCGGGCCGGGCTAACTTTGATCCTCTCTAGACAAAGAACATAAAGTCTTTACATAAAAAGCATGATAATACATCAAAAAACTTGTTCTTTTTCATGGTTACTCAGGTGATTGAATTTAACATTTTTTTTTATGTACATACATTAAAGAACATATTGTATAATGTAAAGAACATATACTTCAAACTCAAAGAACATAATAATCAAACTCAAATAACATATTATGTTCGCGTTCTTTATAAATGTATCTAATGTTCTTTTTTTCGCCCATTTTCTTTTAAATATACCTAATGTTCTTTCCAAGTGCACTATGTGCATGGTGCACCCGAGTTCTTTTAAATATACCTAATATTCTTTTCGAGTGCACCATACGCATGGTGTACCCGGGTGCACCAATCACAAATACATGGTATATAATGAGTGTTGTAGTTGTATGATATGTATTTTAGGTTGTGGCCTAGTGATTTGCGAAATTCATCAAAAAGTAAGGAAATTAATTGTCCTTTTGCTCTTTGAAATTGTTTGTTAGTCCTATTTTCCTATATCTTTTACCCTTTCCATACTCTCAAAGTCTTCCAAGTAAAGGTTTCGATTCTAGGGTATTTAATGTACTACCTCTTTTAACAGTTATTTGCAACGATTTGACATAAAGTAGAAATTGAAAAAGGTCTCATCGTTGCAAATAACTATTAACGGAGGTAGTATGTACTTTTTCTAAAGAAAACCTGTACAAAGTATTATATCTCTAACTAAGATTTTGTTATTAAAGTTTAATATATGAAAAAATTGTTTATTTGCTATTGATAGTTTTATAGGTGAAAAAATAGATTTAGGGCCTAATGAAGAAGATTAGTACTTTGTACTAGCTAGATGTTGTTATTGTAATGCCTGTTTTGCAAATTGCAATCTAATATTGAAATTGTATTTAGGGAATGATTAACGAATGGTTTCGCTGCCGTGGTCGTCGCAGTGATGATGAGTTTAAGTACAATATTGATGTTGATGCTGATAGTGCCATAAGTTATTATCAAAATCTTACCACCAAGCCTCTCAGGGCACTAATCTTCAGGTAATATATACTTCGTATATATCTCTATTTGTTAATCGTGCTTTACCCATAAAACTAGTTCAATATCTACTAGTAGGATGCCTTACTCGCAAGGCCAAAAATGATCTAAGTAATATAATGTGCTAGTTCTAACAATTACTTCGTATTATTATCTCAATATCTCATACGTATTACATAGTATACATACACTACCTTCATCTCACTAAAATGTTTATACTTAATAGTACTTTGTAATATATTTATTACGTAATTTTAAAATTATACATATCTAGTGTTTTAAGATTTATAAACTATACATGATCACATATGATAAAATTAAATTTGATGTTTGTATGAGTTGCAATATTTGGTTAGAGATTTAAAACTCTGACCAAATGCAGTATATACAAGGTAACAATATTTGTAAAATGAAGGAAACTACGGATTAATATACCACCTTTATTTTTCTTTTTATTTACAACAAATGAGTATTTTATGTGATACAAAAAAAAATCATTTATTGCATGCAACCGAAAAGAAACGTTCATAGTATAAGAAAAATTGTGCAATAGATTGTTATCCAATTAATTGGACACTTGATTACATTGACTATGCTTACGTGGACTTTGTTTAACAGTGGCGACTAGGATATGATGGTTCCATATATGTCAACATTGAAATGGATCAAAACGCTAAATATCGTCCCAGAAGATAATTGGAGGCCTTGGTTTCTTAATGACCAAGTTGGAGGGTAAATTCCTAAAAAATTCTGAGCAATTATTATTTGAAATTGTCTTTTGATTTTTACCTTATTAAGTGAAAAAAATTACCATCTAAGAATGGATCTATATCTTGATAAATTTGACGAAGTGACCTAACACTACAAGATAATCTGATGTGTAGGTAGATATGTCCAAATTTTTTTTTAAGTGAACTTACTCGTAATAAATATGAAGGAATTGAAGTGAGGTTGGTAGAAAAATAAAGTATGATAGTTCGAAATTAAGAGAGAAAATCTTGAAATATATTAAAGTATGATAATTGGGGATTTCATTAAAAGAGAAGAAATTAGTAAAATATTGTGAAAGGTTTCCAAAGAGGAAATGAAGCAAGAAATAAAATACTACCGCAAAAGAAAAGTAGAGCAAGTAATGAAATACGGAGGGAGTATTTTAATATTTGCTTCACTTTTCCTTTGCGTCCGTATTTTATTACTAAAATAAATCTAATTTAATATCTTATGAGAATTTCTTGTTTCATACAGATATGTTACAAAATATTCAAATGACAACTACAATTTGACATTCACTACAATTAAGGTATATGCATTACTCAATTTAATCTTTTATATACCCATTGTTATGTACTAAACTTATTAGATCATTTTTACTAAAATTAAATTATTTTTGCATAATTTAAATAATTTTTTTTTTTTGAATAAAAAAAATTCTAATGTTTTATACTTCATATGTTATTATAATTATTTATAAAAAAAAATAATAATAAAAAAAAAATTTATGTACAAAAAGACTGTTTATTTTTACTCGTTCGTGGTTGCTTTTCTTATTTACAATCTTGTCGTCCTTTAATTCCAACTATTGTTAAAGTTTATTAGCTTTTGAAATGTACATTGTTTGATAGCACATAAACAACGTTATGGAATTTGAATAGGATTCATATTAAATAGTGATATTTGAGCAAATGTTATCAAGAGGTATAAAGAACTTAAAAATCCTAAAATCAAGGGAAATCAATGATAGGGAAAAAAAAGACTGGTACTAATTATAGAGAGAATTTAAGAGGAAAAATATAACTAAGTGGTTATTACTTTAGTATTAGATATAAATATTAGATGGTCATAAAACATTAAAGAACTTACATTATTAAGTTTTTAGCTGCAACATTTCACATATTATTACTCTGTATGACCAAAGCTCACAAAAAATTTATTTGAAGAAAAACAAGCTAAAAATATTATACTAGGTATTATTGAAACATGCAAATCAATTAAGAGTTCTAAATTAACAATTGCCGCTTAAGATATGAAGGGATGTAAACCTAATATACATATATATATATATATATATATAAAGGGGAGTGTTTTCCCGAGTTTTTAGAGCGCCACGTAGGATTTTAATTTTTAAAAAATTAATAGAGCGCCACTTAGGATTAATATTTTTAAAACGCTACAATCGGATTATGCCACTTAAGATTAATTTTTTTTTTAAACGCTACATATAATTATAATAAAAAGCGCCACGTAGAATTATAATATAATAGGATTAGTTTTTTTAGAGCGCCACTTAAGATTAGGTTTTTTTTTTTAAGAAACGCTATAATAGAATTATGCCACGTAAGATTAATTTTAGAGCGTCACATATTATATTTTAGCCAATGAAAAAAAAATTGCAATTTATTTTAGATTAAAAAAATTTATATTAATTATAAAAATAAAATCAGCGCCTTTTTATATTAATTATAAAATTTTATACTAATTTTAGTGCTTTTTTGTGTGGCTGGTCATATCGTGTGGTCGACTGATACACACCCAAATACTAACCGAGTAACCCTTGACCGTCCGAGTAACCCCTGATCGATTGAATAACCCTTGACCAACCAAGTAACACCTGACCAAGTAATCCCGACCACACGGTGTGACCAGCCACATATGAAACTTTATTTGTGAAATAAAATATTATCTTTTTATATTACAAATTTTATCTAAATATGAGAAATAAAGTTGATAATTCATTTTATAATAAAAAATTCAAGTAGTTAGCAAGCGAATATTACAAAGTTTATTAGATAAATATATATTTAATAAAATATTTTATTTGAAAAAATACAAACAAACCGTGCATCACACATGTTTCATCTAGTTAATTAAATATTATTTAATAATAATTTTAAAATAACATTGTCAAACTTTTTAGGATTTTAAAAAATAATTTTTATAAAAAATTTTGGTGGCTTTCTTATACTTCTACAAAGCCACCACATAGGCACATAAATCAAATAGTACGTATTAAAACTACCAGGTCTACCACCCAAACCAAAGGTGTAAATACTCGCCAATACAACTTCTCCGCAAGAGCTAGCCACTCCGATCGCGCGTGTAGGCCATCCTAGTTTTAATAAAATGCTCGTGCTACCTTTCCCTCAAAAAAAAAAAAGTAAAAAATAAATAAAAAAAAAAAGTAAAAAACTCTATTTATTGTATCTATTATCCCGTGGAAATTCTTTTGCCATATTCTAAAGTAGATCTCTATTTTTGCCTCAACGTGACCCTATATAAACTTGCTTTATGTAGTATAAATTTTGGTATTTTATGATAAATATACGCATAAGTCGGGGTACTACTTAGTTTATTTATTTATTGTTATAAAATAAGGAGAAAATATGAGAGATGGAGAGAGAATTCATCAACTTATTATTTCATAGAGTACGGATATATATACAATATAACTAGGGTTTGCTTAGGTAATAATAAACCCTAGATCTAGAATATTCCGGAATGATACAAGGAGGATAATGGATATCCACAAATATTTCATAACGCTCCCCCTTGGATGTCCATTATCGAAGAGTGTGCCTCGTTAAAACCTTATTAGGAAAAACCCTGTGGGATAAAAAAAACCTAATGAAGGAAAAAGAGTATAACATTCTTCTTAATACGCTCGAGATAGATGCCGCTTCATTAAAAACCTTACCAAGAAAACCTAACGTGGGACAAAACCATGGTCAAGGGAAAAAGAGTGCAGCGCGTATTTTCACCCCCTGATGAATACATAACTTGAGATTTTCTAGTGCCGCAACAATGAATCCAATATGATTGGATATTTTCTAATATGTAGTCAAATATCATTCTTGGTCTTCGATCCTCCTAAACTGAAAGTGCATCTCCAAGTATTCAAGAGAACATGTGAAGTGTCTTCATTTCACCATACATGTATTTATCTCTATATCATTCCAAACCTCTGTTTGAATAAAGTTACTTTAAAAGTTAAACTTATGCGGTTAGGCCTTCTTCTGAAGGTCGTGAATAATAAAAATCGATGATCATTATTCGATTAAATATTCATTAATAATAATTTGATAACAAAACTTGATATTATTAATGTCGTTCTTCAATTTCATATGAATTATAATATAACACATGTATTTAGATACGCTAATCATGGTTCTTCTGGACCATAAACAAAAATTCTCACGCATAAGTATTCCATTGATATTCCTTGGACGTTTCATAATTGACACGATAGCTCTCTTGCAAATACAAAAGCAAATCTCACTAACTTTCATATGCTCAAACTTCAGGTTGAGAAATCAATGATGTAGTCACATAGACTTTTCAAGAGTTTGATAATAATTGCAATATTCAAGATATAAAATTTGTAGGGCTATAAATACGTTGCATATAAGTTCTTCGGGAACTTCTCTTACATGATTCATAAATAATATTAGATCAACGTCGTATATAATTTTATCATAATTATAAGCCCGTTGGAATATAAATATGTCTTACTATACTTTGAATGAGCATGCACATACACTAGAAATATTGTATAGAAACTAATGCATGCAATAAGAGATATATAAAACATGATAACATATTAAGCAAAAATACAATAAGTAATGCATTTAACAACTACTGACATATGCAATGAACAATCCGTTAACCTATGACTTATACATGCATATAAACATACATATGACTCAAAATAATGCAAGACACTGTACAATGTGGATTTAAAAATCCATATTTCATTGGACTTCTGGTCCATAATAAACTTTTGATCATTATATGTCGACATCAAAATAGACATATATTCCAGATCCCTTATTCACTAGTCCATTCTATCATGCATATACATTATTTGTCGGTTCCATCATATACCGGTATCATCATATAATTTCTCAGGGTAAAATTTTAATTTGTATGCTATTTCGACAATGATATCTGAATATATTTTTCATTGGTACCATCATAATTTTTTCTTACATCATAGGCCATCTATTGTAATAATTCAGATATCTATACCACTTTTGGGTATTTATACACTATGGTATTTATATACTATTACACTATTAAAAGTATTAACTGCACTATCTTTCCACATATCATATCTTTATTTTGGAACCGATCATACAACCTACACTTCAGGTGTAGTGATTCAAGTATAATTAGCAAGATTTTATCTCAATGTATACACATAATATGATCAAAAAGTATCTTCAACGCTATGCAACATGAGTCATAACTAAATACAATCAAATCATAAATGTGCAACATATCTTGATAATATATAGGCAAAAGTTGGCATATAACTTTTCAAACTTCCTTTATAGGGATCATCAATTATATATTTTTCGATTTTTCCAACTTTTGCTAATTCTTCTCCCCCTGCGTTGATAAAATATCTCATTTATAGGGGCGTTTAATTTTATACCAACTTAGTATACAAATTTGCATTAAAATTCATTTCATTAGGAGGATCACAATAAAAAATAATCTCTTAAAAGATTCTATTAAACAAGATTTATCTCTTCTAGAGAACAATTTCAATGAAGAATCATTAACTTTACACATCATGTGTATTTATTATTACATTTTCCATAATATTTTCTCTTCCGGAGATCAATGTCAATGGGGAGACATGTGTTGTGCAGTTGTACGTTTTTCTTTCTTCTCCTATTTCTTATGTGCTGACATATAATAGCCCCAATCAAAAGAATTGGTATACAAGCATAAATTACTTGCTTGTAATTCTACTAGGTGGTGATCTTCTAGATCTTTGAAGACTTAAATAGTGTATTTGGTGAGCTTCTGATCACCTAATACTTGACAATAATATATAAGTTATTCTGGTGAACTTCTGGTCACCTATTACTCTTTCGTATATATGAAAATCAAAACCTATTAGCTCTTAAAATTTTCATTAAGCAAAAATTATTATAGCTCAATCCCAATGTTATGTCTTGCCATTCAATTCATTTCATATATCTAACATTGAGAGAGTGTCAGCACATTATCAAACGAAACTTCAGGTTTTCATAACGGGTATTTATTGAACCCGGATGGCCTAATTTAATTATCACATCCAATCGTTTATCTAAATTTAAACTATGGTTAGTTTTCCAACACTGGTGATCACTTTATGAGACATAATTTATGCATGGCCATGAATATGATGTGATATTAGAACACCAACATATGGTTCTTTATATAATTGGCACGACAATCATCTAATACTTGATCTAAGAATTTATACTCTGTTGGAGTTTAGACTATAATCTTGATACATGCTAAGCTTGTTGGATAATTCTATACTCTTTTAGAGTACTCTATATAATCATGGTACATATTCCTTTTACTAAAATAATCTCTTATAAAGATCTATCAAAATGTATCACTAATTGCCCTTTTCCTGATTCAAGATTCTTATATTTTATTTTGGAACCTATTGAAATACCACGCTTCAGGCGTGCTTTAGGTTCATTAAAAATTGATGTTTGTTGTCCTTCTGGGACATTAGTTTTAATTGGACCATTTATATTTGATATAGAGTCAATGTCATTTATTCATATCCATCTTCAGGATGGTGTCATTAAATATTTAATAATTATGTGGTCAACTTTATTAAATAAATCATTGATATTTAAGCTAATGTATGTAACAAACTGACTATGATGTATCTTATTATTTATGTGCAAGGATTACATAAAATAATGAAATAATTACAATCTCCCCCTAATCCTTGCATATGGGGCACGAAATGAATTCAACAACCTTTAAATCTCTTGCACCTTTTAAGACATAAATTCTTTTAGCAATGCATGTATCAAGCACAATAAAACTATTCTTATAAACTCTTACTCGTAACTCTTACTCAATTTTATAATCTCTATAAGTATGGGCATAATAAATATAATTTTACAAGTAAGTTTCCCACAATGTCATCTATCTCTTGCTCATATAAAAATTGTGCAATCATGTTTAATTTGCAAATCGTATAATTTTGCATGAATTATATTCATCATGAAAACATGCATGTATCATTTTAATCAAGAATCTATCTAGTAATCTGTGAATCATTAATACTCACCCAAAGTATGGTATCTAAAATAACCACCAAATTAAAAGACATTATGTCAACTTTATTTTCTAAACTTTTGTATTATTCTTAAGGGTTTTGGGCTTTATAAGTTTAAGAAACTTTAAGTCTATGTGTGTGAGTACTCTTTATAAATCTAGAAAACTTTAGGTCCGCACATCATGGTTTTGCAATTCTTATTTAATGAATCATAATTAAGAAAACATCATGCAATCATATTTGTTATCCTTTCAATCCCAATTTCTCATTTACTTTAGGGAGTGAGTAAATCTAGTAATTTATGATTTACCAACTCACATCCACCCTGAGTTCAGTGTCGTCTAGAATACTATTCAAAGTCTAGCCTTTTATATATTCTTTCTCATGGCGTTAAGGAGAGAATAAACTTATAATAATAATCTTGCTCATATGTAACAAATATTAGTCGTGCTCATATGTATAGACTCTCATCTCATTTATAAAACCAAACCAAATGAATGTATGATCATCAAACAAGTTAAGACGAGAGCGTTTAATTAACAATTAGTTACTCCGGTTCAAACAAGAGGATCAAATAGGTTTCATGCATGTCCCATATTTTGTAAAATTGCAACAAATATGTATTATGACTATTATCTATACTTGGATATAATGTGAACTATTAAAAGGTGAAGAAAATATAGAAATGTTCCAATCCAAGACTAATATCACATGTCAGCTTGTATGTGCTAGTATAAAAAAGCATCATGTTAACAAAGAAGTATTATCATTATGGCATGTCAACAAATATGTATTATCATTATCACAAGAAAGCATCATGTTATTTGGTGAGAGTTATAATAGAGTACATACTATATATATACTACCATACATAATATAAATAGATATAGAATATCCTAGCTCTTAAAAACGAAACTTAATGCAAAAAAAAATGTAGGTGTATCTGCCTTGATCTATTAGCCTAAAAATTGTGTAAAATCTTATTATTTGATAAGTAAAGTTAAATAATAATCCAATGTAGTTAACCAATGTTGGGATAATGATAATCATCAAATAAACATTTAAATTATCAATGTGATAATATATTGTAATCTGAATAAGCATCGATTACCTTAATAGCGGATTGGTGGAACATAAGGTATACTTGTATCATATTGTATTACATAGGCATCATACTATTGTAGTTCACATTCTAGGATTTATAAAAGGCTACATAATAGACAAATCACACAAAGTGAATATAGCTACCACTACTTAAACAAAATTAGAATATAAAGTTTCAAGATTAAAATTAAACAGATCAAAATTATTTGATAGAGTAGTACTCCATAGTCCATACAATATCAAAATTAAACCGATGCAGTAAGGCAATGGCAATGGCAATGGATTTAATGCATAATTAGAGGTACTCGCACATTTTAATTTCCAAAAATCACCAAACAACTTATTAGGAGTTATTACCTTAAATCCACCTTAAACTCTGTAATTAATTTGATTGGGTGTTGAAATTACAAGATTAGCTACCTCATTAACAAAACTATTCACAAAAACTGAACATCAAATTGGTTGTAAACTCATAATTGTTGCTCAAAACAGAAAATCCTATCCAAACAGTTTACGTTCCTCTAACAGCCCCGCAACTTGTTAATCCAAAAAATGAATTAACTCCGCTTACAATACAACTCACAGAAGTACACTATCTCAACGCATCAAATCAATACAAACACGACAAACGATTACAACAAACATTTTCTGCATACAGAAAACTTGTTAATTCATTTACATCCTCAGAAATATAGCATTAATCTTAAGACACTTGATATTAATCCAATAAAAAGTATCATATATTTCAGCGGTAAAATACCAAAATCAAGCACCCATCTCATCAATCAACAGAAGAGAAACACAGCAAAGATTTATCAATTGCAAGAGATCGAAATTAAAATTAAGAAAATCTGCATAAACAAAATTAAACAATAGAACAAAAACTAAAAAAAAAAATCATAAGAACAAACCTCACTCAATTTATCCAAAGTAGCAATAGCACTCGTTGTAACCTCCTTGGGTTTGCCGAAAATCCTCATAAACATGATTAATTAATGGGGTTTGATCCGTAAAAATCAACAAAGAAAACCCAGATAAAAGAGAACAAGATTTAGAGCGGGAGGAAACCGCGTAAATTGGGAAAACGGGGTTTGATAACAAAAATTGATTGATTTGATCAATTAAGCAAATTTCTCTGATAATATGAATCTTGAAATGGTAGCAAAAGATATTTGAAGAGAAGGTTTGAGAGGAATTTCAATGGAGGAAAGTGGTATACACATAATTATGTATATGTATAGGAATCAAAAGATTTATTAATTATTTAGAATTTTGGTGCTGATAACGTGTTATAAAATAAGGAGAAAATATGAGAGATGGAGAGAGAATTTATCAGCTTATTATTCCATAGAGTACGGACATATATATACAATATAACTACGGTTTGCTTAGATAACAATAAACCCTAGATCTAGAATATTCCAGAATGATACAAGGAGGATAATGGATATCCACAAATATTTCATAACATTTATAATATTTTTTTAGTATTTAATATACTTCTCTTTTTAGTATTAAGTTGGGAATTTATAGACAATTTACGAGTAAATTGGTGTAATAAATGTTTATTTATTGTCAATTCTTTTCACTTTTAACTTTTTAAGAGCTGCATATATCTTTTTCCATATTTTATTAATGATTAGATAGTCACAGATATCACAAGCCATAATACAATTCAATTCCCAAGTTTATCGTACAACATTTAACATTACCATATCCGAATGATTTAATTAATCAACTTCAAATTTTCGTAACTAGTGCCGAGTAGCTTATTCAGACCTTCCTTAACTCCAACTACTCCGTATATACTTGTAGTTTATATGAACTTCTCTCTCCATTTCTCAGTTTCAACAATTAATTTGTTTCTTCCCTTTAATTAATTTCAAGAAACTAAATGATTAATAAAAAAATTGTAACTCAACTAATATTAGCAATGACGATGATTTTGGTATCATTTGTGTTGTGTAACAATTATCATACAACTCCAAATACAAATTCAAATGTTGTTCGATTTCTACCTGGCTTCCCTGGAATTCTTCCTTTTAACCCTCAAACCGGGTATGTGTTTATGTCGATTACTTCCTCTATTTTTTTAAATTGCATTATTGGTATTTTTACTCTTGTTAATTCACAATTTATGCTTCACATTGAGTTATTATTTGCTCAATATATATTGAGGCAAATCTAATAAAATTACATGAAAATAGTAAAATAACTAGAAACTTGCGAATAATGTATGTAAAAAGGACATTTAATCCAATAAGGTTGTAGAAGGCATTTTGTCCCATACCTTGCCAATTATGCTATGTTATTTTGCTCTTTAGAAAAATTAATTCAAATATATCAAATAAAGTTTGAATTAATTTCAGCTGATTGAAAAGAACATAGGTTATATTCAGTTCGTCTTATTTAAGGTGTTTAGTCTAATTTGAACTCTAACTTATAATTTTTGTGAGGTTATGTTGTTAAGTAACCCCTGATCGAGTAACTCAAGTAACCTCGGCCACATGGTGTGCAAGCCACATATAAAAATTTATGTTTAAGAAATTATAATTAAGTGAATTAATTTTAGAAATAATTTCAGTTTAGCAAAAATAAGGTGAAGAGAACGAGGCCTCAATATAAATTAAGGGAATTTATTATTGTAAATAGAAAATTTTTAGTATACTTAATACGAAGTATATCATATCATATTATCATCTTCTATATTGAAAATTTTAGGTGTGTATAAATATAAGAGAAATTCTAAAGTATTCTTAACCCTCAAAAATCAAAATTTCATATTTGAAAATGTACAGGATCACCGATTACAAAATAAATGTAGGAAGACAAATTAATCAAGCTTTTTTCAACTTTTTAGTGTGTTCATCCCAAAAAAACATATTTTAAGCTACTAGGGTGTACATTTATAAAGTAATTATCTATTATGAAGTGATGCATTATATAAAGTATGGTAGAAGTATTAATTTATCTATCTTTATTGTAAAGTAAAGATACAATAAATGTTTAAGGTTGCAAACATAATATTTCTCGATTCACCTGTTGGTGCTGGATTTTCCTATGCAACAAACAATGCTTATCTTCCCGGTGATACAAATACGGCAAAACAAGCATATGAGTTTTTGAAGAAGGTTAGTTCAATTATTAGCCGATTGAGCTCGGTCCTATACAAAGTGGTTAAAATTAATGCACCTCAAATGATTCCTTGCATTTTATCATGTGTTCTGCCTTACCAATGAGGTATTGGCCCAGCGATTAAGACTATATTGGCCTAGCAATTAAGACTAATGGCTCGTATATGAAAGTCACAGGCTCAACTTCAATCCCCCCACCAATATTTGAAATTTGTTTCCCCCTTGTGATGCATACATCTTTTTAAAATTACGACCTATATTAATGCGTTTTATTTAACACTTGTATGTATGATGAGTTTCTTGTCCTATAGGAAATGAAATAGGTTTTGGGGCAAAAATAAATCTTCAGGTGTGTTACATATATGTTTTTTTTTTTATGTCAAGAGAGCGTTTGATTTACAACGTTTAAGTATAATCATCATACTCCTATATAATAGATTTAGAAAGACAAAATCATAGTACCTTGTCTGAGTAAATTTAAAACTTCCATGGGGAGTTCAATAAGAGATGGGGATATGAATAAAGATAAATATACAGTTATAATGATAACACGCCATGTAAATTATTTTATATAGTACACACCAAGGGCATTATTAGTCAATTTTAAAATTTCATTTGTCTTGCAATCTCTCTCTTCAAATAAAACGCACGTTTGCATCCAGGGATATATTCTCGGGAATCCGGTGACTACTAAGTACCTTGAAGACCAAACAAAAGTTGAATATGTTCACCGTGTATCCGTACTATCCGATCAAACATATGAGGTTAGTATATTGTCACTTTACTTTCAGCATGTTTGTGTCACTAATAACATTGAAATACATTTTTTTGTGCCAAATGTTTGTGCAATACATTGATTGTTTGTCCATAAATATTTACAAGGAAATTTTCCAAGGACAATGGTTAGCATAGCATTGTCTAATGTCTAGTACTACGGATCAAAGTTTAAAAATAAATACTCTTTAAATAAGACATTATGCATGTAATTCTCTTTTAAATAATTTGTTGAAGTGATTTTTTTTATTAATTTTTTGCTAATGGATCATCATGTATATTACAATTGTTAGTCGGCCAAAGGAAGTTGCCATGGTGATTATCGGCCAATTGCTGCAAAAGGTAATGCACAATGCAAGAAGAGCCTTGAAACTGCATCAAAGGTGAGTTTATCTTTAAAGTATATTCTTTCGCATACATAAATCTAACTCACATAGTTCTGAGTTAAAAACTTAATATATATCATGTACAAATATGTAGATCTAAGTCTAACTATTGGCCTATGCAGTGCATTGTTCCATTAGAAAATGAATTTGTCCTTGAATCGAAATGCTTCCATCCATCACCAGATAAGTGGTGTCTGGTATTGCTTTGATTCTCACTTTCATTCTTTCTTCAAAGTTGAGAGGCATATAATTTAAAGTTGATTCTATAATAATAGTGACATCAAATTTATTTTTATTACTATTCGGTGGTACATACAGCAATACTATCATGGTCGCATGTCTGAATTGTGGGCAAATAACATTAATGTCCAAAAAGCTCTTTATGTTCGAGAGGTAAGTAAATCGATCCTCAAAATAACCACTTTTGTATTAGCTATTTGATGCTATCGTGTAGCATGTTGCAGTCTAATAATCTTGAGAATGTATTTAGGGAACGATTAACCAATGGATTCGTTGTCGTGGTCACAACAATGATGAGTTTAACTACACTCACGATATCGATAGTAGCGTCAGTTTTCATCAAAATCTTTCCATGCACCCTTTCAGGGCACTAATCTTCAGGTAATTTATGTAGATTCTGAGTTTCATTCATGGTTAATAATATTAGAGTTGTCCTCTTTGTTACAAAAAAAAATCGCCCTTTTTGAGCTATTCTTTGTTTAACATGTTAACGAATAGTGGTGACCAGGATATATGCATGCCATATATGTTCACGTTGAAATGGATGAAGAAGCTAAATGTCGTTCCAAATGATGTTTATTGGAGTCCTTGGTTTCTTTACGGCCAAGTTGCAGGGTAAACTTCCTACACTTTCTCTCTTTATTTGTTCGTATAACTTCACCATGGAAGCCGTGTTTGAGTTTCACACTTCCATCATGATGAAGGTGTCTGAGAAATATTGTGAATTTGTGTTGCGAGTAAATATTTCGACAAATGGTAAATCCCTAAAAACCAATTTAGTCTGAGAATTTCTCGTTTCATACAGATGTGTCACAGAGTATTCAAATGACATCTACAATTTGACATTTACTACAATCAAGGTATAGAACTTCACTCAATTTTTTTTTTGTTATGATTATTGATTACTTCGTACAATTTTGCACCAATTAATATTAGACAAAATATTAATTTTGTAGGGAGCAGGACATGTTGCCCCTGACTATAAGCCGCGAGAATGTTTAGCAATGTTTCAAAGATGGATCAAATTTAATCCTCTATAATGAAAATCATCTACATATCTGTTATATATTTGTTCATTAAATTTAAGGAATTTATAGATTTGTACAATACCTAAAAGGCATGGAGCTGTAAGGTAGTTTGATTTTGCACTTTTAACTCTCACATTGATTCTAGCTTAGTACTCGTAGTTATTTAGTAAATGAGGGCTAAAGTTCAATTCATTATAATTTTGTTATGTAACATTAATATGTTCAATTTTCTCAAATCGCTTGCTTAATCAGAAAAGTAACAATTGGATTTCGAAGAAACTAAGAAAGTATTTCATTAAGTGATTTTTATACCTTTGGTCCATTCTGTTTCACATTATGTGCAACAATTGAATGTAATACCCAATTGTGTTGCACATAATATGAAATGAAGGTAGTACTTAACCAAAGTCAAGTATCTTGATTATCATCAGTAGCAACCGCTGTGTTGGTGATGGGGGTTGGCCAGAGAGGTGGACAATAAGGAAACAATCTGAAGGATGGGATCAAAGAAAATACAGAGAAGTTGAAATCCGAGACTAATTGCACCGTCTTGCTTCTTAGATTCACATCCATTAGACGATTATCTTTAGAATAAACGTACAACACATCTCCGTTGTAAGGATCAAAACCTTTGATAGACATGCGCACATCCTGAGCCAATTAATACTTGTAAGATCCACAAAATAAAAAGACGTAGATATTCAAAATCTCACTGCTTCTCATAGTGTTGCATCCACGCCTAATTAGGCGCGGCGAGTTCTTTACAAGCACCACTTTGTATTGGGTGGGATCGTCAACGCTACATATGATGCATGTGAAGTCAATAAGAGGATTTCTTTGATGATCATCAAAGAAACAAGGCGGAGGTTGGGGAAGCCTATTAGATTGCTTCGTTAAGGGGTTCGATACGCGTAGATATAAGGAAGGAACGGGGTTATTGTTTACACCAACACCAAGATTCGACAACGACAATGACACTGTCAAGAGTAAATCATTAGAAACCAACTGCACCAAGTCCATAGACCATTGTTGATTGAGGAAATCTGAGGATACTAAGGGCTAGTTCTGGTTCTGGTTCTTAGGTAACGCGTGGACCTCTCGAATCAGCGGAGAAGGATCAGGAGCATTGATCAAATAGTTGACAAGTTGTATATGATTATGTTCAACATCAATTGTATGATTCACATGTCGTATTCGATGGCTAAGGGCAAAGCTTTTACTTGAAATCAAGCCGAGCCAACGTTTCGAGACCAGCTTACATTGATGGCCTAATTTCACCGGTAATCACACAAGAATCTCCATTAAAGTCTCATCCCTTAAATCTTCTATTTATGATTTTCTCCTCTTCGTAGCCATATTAGTTTTTTTTTTTTTTATACTTTATAAAATATGTGTTTGTTCAAGCAAGGCTAGAGAGGGGTATATATAGATGGATACACAGACTATGCTACAATTCCTACTTTGTTTCAACTTTCAAGTCATAACAAACTTCTAGATCATATAATATGGCCTTAAAATATAACAATATCTTTTAATTATTTAATTATGTCATAAACAAACTAAAAAGGGTGGCGGCTAGGGCTTGGAAAAAGAAAGGAAAAAAATAATTAATTTGCGAAAGCTGAGGTTGGATCTAAAACCTAAGCTCTGATACCATGTTAGATTGTATGAAACTCCTCAGATTGGAATGTATTCTATTGATTAAATATATAGGGTTACAAGTATGAAACCTAATCTCGTTAGGAAATCTCAAAAGATAATTACATAATATATACAAAACATATCCTACTATAACAGTATATCTAGAATATTAATCCTATATTCTATCACTAAATATAATCCTAAGATAAATCTATCAATATCTTTTTTCTTTGCTTTCTTAATGAAATTCATACGTCAATATTCTTTAGATTTTATTAATATATAGATAAAGAAAAGATTAAATTTCTGAATTTTTATTTGACGATAAATAAAATACTTGCAACGACATTATTAATGACTTTCATACCCTCACTTAAACTTCATACTGCCTCCATAAACAAGCACTTGTTTAATGAAGGGTGAAAAGATTTTGCTTATGCATTTAAAGATAAATTGGGAATGAAGCCACCTCAAAAAAACAGTATATAAGGGAAATAACCTGCACTTTCATGTTGCCAACTGGGAAAACAAAATTACTTCATACTTCGTAGTATTAAGCATGCAAAAAGTACTTCATTCAAAAAAATAACTCGTCATATGTAATTCAGCAGGGATTACATGAGATTTTATACGACCAATTTCTGACCTAATTACTCTAAATTACCTGTTTTCAAGATCTCAACCTTGGAATGTAATCACAATTTTTAAGCCAGGCCAGCAAAATCAAGGTGCAAGCCTTTGAGGATCACGAGGGAACAATGAGGTTTTCCGAATGTTGGTCAGGTTGCAGAAGAGCATAACAACACGCTCCAAACCCACACCAAAACCTCCATGAGGCCAAGCACCAAACCTGAACAGAAAATTTTATTAGTTGTGTGAAATTAATACACTTCCTAGAAACGCAAGTGTTAAATATGTATGATGGTTCAGAAAATGCTAATAACAGCGCATTAAGGCAATTGAATAAAAAACCAAAGGCAACAACATAACAATATTCCCACCACAGCAGTTGACTCGGAATGGTTTTGGAAAGGCTAGGCCACTTGCAGTCTAGGAAGTTTGGGGAAGAAAAATAGCACATGGGCAGTAGAAGATAGCTATGTTATGGCTAATAACAAGGAGATGTTATGTACTGTCCACTTGGCTAAGCAACATTTTAAAGTCCACCTCCATGGCGCCTTAACCAGATAATTCAAGTTTTGAAAGCAACAATCTTCTTTCAGTCCTATCCCAATAATATAACGCCACCCATCCTTCTAGAAAGCTCCACCAATCGCCTCCAGCCCTTATTCTAGATAGACAAAAGTGAATATCGGGCCTCCACTGTTACCTTTTTGCAATATCAGAAACCATACAAAATTTAATTACAGCCTCCAGAAATACTGAGTACAGCTTGTACACACTAACAGACTGCCTTCCAATATAAGAATAAACCTGTCCAGGTCAAATTGTTGATTAAAGATGCCTAGAAAAGAGCCTTGGTAAACCCTTGTTTATACGTCTCAAACACTCCACTCCAAGTTGTCATCAACAGTTTATTAACATGCTCCGCATCATGCACTTTTCATGCCAGGCGACACCTCATAAACCTTATCATTCATCGTTACACCCACTGAATTCCGACAAATCGCCAATGGTTGTCAATACTGATCTAAAATCTAGGTCCATCACTTCATGAAGCGTGTATGCCATCAAATCCTGATGCCATCAACAATTTAACCTAAACTCCACCCAAGTGTCCACAATCCATCACCCCAGGTAAAAGAGCAAGGCAATTTAGGCTCCACTTATTTTAATGGAAAACATTTTCAGACATCGATTTTAAAAAAAAAATACAATTGTAAATATTGTTTGCCTTTATTTGTTTGTTTACGAGAATAAAACATTTTTTAGGAAAATACTTCCATCAAAATAAACGGAGCCTTAGCCCCTCCATAGATAATCCAACTACAAAATCTGACATTGATAATTAAATAAATCATAATCTCCCAACAATTCAAGCATCCATAGAATTAGAGTTATAGTCATCCAAAATCAAGCATTTAAATTAAAAGACAAAATCCATATTCAACCAGAAAAACAAACTTACTTGAAGGAGTCGAGATAAGTAGCTATGGTCTTGACATCGATGCCACATGCTTCAGCGCGCTTTGTCAAAAATTCAGGTTCATGAATACGCTGAGCTCCTGATATTATCTCCTCACCTAAAGTGGAGACAGAAAGTAAGAAGTCAGACCAAGTGAAATAAGAAGCATACATGAATGAAAAACCACCATTACAGTTCCAAAGTTAGCCATAGTAATCCACCGTAGGAGCCCATACTTTGTCAGATAATGACTATAATAGACCATTTCAAGCTCATTTACATAATAAAACTTGAGGTATAAATAGTTTTCAAAAATTAACTATATTATTTTTTTGTCAGATAATGACTATAATAGACATGACTTCCAACCACATAGAATAAGTATAGAAGGAGTTAATCACGTCTAGAAAGTTATCTTCCATAATCATTCGCCAGTTACAAGCACCTCTATCCATAAGTCGCCAGTACGCCAGCTTATGAGCAAACTCTCAAGACCAGCTTCTTCAACATAAGCTAGATCCAAAACAGACAGTAATGAAAAGATATAGGGCAGCACATGGCAGGTGCACGGTCCTCTTCACCCCAAGGCTCAAGCCACTTTAAAACTCCCAAACCCATAAGGCCATACATGAAGCAGGTTCAATTATTCAAGCTCACATTTGAAACTCTAGATACATAATCAGAATTGTACCTTTACTTTGTCAGCTATAATAGGGAAAAAATTGGAATGCACTGATAGTTGCCATGCCTAGAATTCTATCAATTCAAGCCACTTTCTGCTATGAGATGAACTATTCAGACAATCCTCAATGGCTTCGTTAAGCATAGCTTGATTTGCTAGGTCAGTGACCAAATAAAAAAAATATAAATAGTCAAATGCCAACGGAGCACATGCCTCAAATATTTGCCTGGTGAAAGTTGTACCCATCTTTAGTTGTACCAACAAGCAAACCTCCATACACACATAACCATCACGTATTCCTCTTGGGATGTTTACACAATATCTTCCTATTACTTGAATTTTCACCCAATCAATCCATGTGATGTAGACCCCTCCATTAACTCTTTCTCTTATACTCTTTCTTCATATTCTATGTCATGAGGGTCCTCTTGTCCACTATGGGCACTATAATCAAATTATTTATCCTTAGTTCCCTACTATCTACCAAATTATCTACCCTGCCCTACTAAATTCATAGATATGATTGTCCAAACTCCAAACCTAATAGGAAAATAATTTGAGGAGTGAGGACGAAGGAAATATACTCGTTTTCTTTTTTACCAAATAGGCCATGAGAAAATTTTGTTTAAACAGTGGAATTTAGAAACGATATGAAGTTGTAATGACCACAAATTAACTCACAAGTACTAATGTTGCACTTCATTTTACAGTAAAAGCCCCATTACCTTTTTGTTGACTTTCTTTCTTTTGTATTAAAGCCACGAAACAGGTAAACTGAGGTCTCCAATGCTCTTTACACCCATCAAGATGCACCAATTCAGGAATTATTTGCTCCTAAGTCCTAACAGCCAATTTTTCAAATATAGAGCTAGAACTAAGTCCCAATAAAAAAATAAAAAAAAAAAGTCCCAATAAAAATGACAACATTTTCACACATAGAACAGAAACAGAGGGCAGGATCCAAAAGGTTTCCCCAATAGGCTACCTGTTTCACTTTACTTTACGCACCCAAATTATAGTACTCAATAAGTCAATGTTGAACTGAGACCAACCCCTTGCCATCCCTCAAATACAGTGCTTACCCAAGGGGATAATGCTAAGAAGTTCACTATCTCACGCAGTCATGGTGACCCACTCTTGATACCAACTTCAATGAAGTTAATATATTTAGAGCAAAATTCAAAGGCAATACGTTAACTCAAGAAATCTACCTATCATACATCACACAAAATACAGAACCGGAAACAACTACCTAGCAAAAACAGGGCATTGTTTTCACTTGCAGGAATTCTCTAATCGCTAGAGGAAGAAATTCACTTCACTTCAAGGTAAAAGAGTAATAAAAATTCTAATTATAAGCTTCGTTGCAAACAATCTAACTCACCCCGTATAAAGACATCAAATGAATTGCTATATAAAGGATCATCATAGCAGGGCATGGTATAGAAAGGCCTAATAGCCGATGGATATCGGTGGAGAATGTAAAACTCAGTGTCGTATCTGCAAATAAAATAAGATCGGTCAGTATCCAGCTAAATATATTTTAATTTAGAAGATGAGAATATTATACATGTCCCCAGTCAGTAAAGAGATTTCTATGTTCCAACAAGGCATTCAAGTTATTTTGTGTGTAATAAAGATGAGGACAATTAGACAAAACCAGGCTGAAAAGGGGTGGGTGTTTATTAATCAAGTAGAACATACATATGAGATAGAGTACCAATAATTATGCAATTTGCATCATTGTAAAATGAATGTCAAAGTGAAAGGGGAAGTGCTATAGAGCTTAGTATGGCAGAAGATAAAACAAAGAGATAAACTAACTTGTCACGGACTAATTTGCCAAGCTTTCTCTCAATATCAGTATTAAGGTCCCCATACGGATCAACTTCAATACCCGCCTCCTGCAATAATATTGTCAATTGCAAATGAAATTCACGTGTAGAAACAACAAATGCAAAAAGGTTTTATAGATCACTTAATGCAACAAGAGTTTCAGAGCATAATATCAAGAAACTCATCTCAGCGTTTAAATTGCCCCAGATATAAATTAATGAATTCTATATGCTGCCAATCTGCCATATTGTCAGATTATTATAACAGCATAATAAGCAAAGGAAGCTTATAGGCTGCAGAAGTTTATATAGAATTTGCCATTCATCATCGTATGTTACTTTTTTAGATGATGTATTAAAGGTAAAAAGTACAACATTCCCTTACCTTCAGCATTTGAACTCCTTCTGGAAATGTCAGCTGCAATGTCTTCCGCAAATACTGCAAGTACATAAATCCCAAGTGAATGTGCAAGCACATAGTAACATAAAACTATGAAGCTGAACAAAAGAAACCAAGAAGTTTAATCAATTTTCATAAACTAAATGAAATAAAACAATTAAAGGATATAAAAACCTTCAAAGGTTCAAACTCATACTGCCTTGAAACAGCTTCAAGTTCTCCTTTGCAGTTCTCATTCAAATGGTCAAAAATGGTCACAAACAACCGATCAATTATGTCCATAACCTGTACGATGCAACCAGAAACCTTATTTAACCTGCAATAATGTGAGATATTTGAACCTGGACAAAGAGATTTGAAAAGCCTGTTCTACCTCTGAATAGTGCTCTTTGATCTCCATTTCCGCATCAAGACCCGTAAACTCACAGAGATGCCTATGAGTAAAGGAGTCCTCAGCTCTGAAAACAGGACCGACTTCATAAACTCGCCTAAAATCACCATTAATTGATATCTGCTTGTGAAGCTGAGGTGACTGAGCAAGACATGCAGGCTGGCCTTTGTAGTCAAGTCTGAAAACTGCTGCACCCCCTTCACTTGTTCCTCCCATTAACTTGGGTGTATGAATCCCTCGAAAACCTTCAGATCGCAAAAATGATCTGAATATCTGCCAAAAAAAGTATGAACTCAAAAGAGAGCCCCAACTAAGACTTCCAGGCATGAAAGTAGACTTAAATGAAGAAGCTGAAGTATACAAAAAAACAAGGTTGAATTGATCAATTTTCATTAGAAATAAGAAACAAAAAAACAAAAATAACCAAGAAGATAATCTTCCCCGTCAATATCACCAGAAGTACATCAATTGTTGGAAAAACAGAAAACCAGTGATTGACATTAAAGATTCACCTATTTACAAAACTGTTTTTGCTATGTTAAGTTATAGATAATGAGATAGCTCAACAAACTCGTTATGCAGTCTAACATGCAACATGGATGCTTGAGAGCTTTCTTATAAAACCTAATATTTCCCAGCAAAATTACAAATTCCTCAAACCCCCCCCCCCTCTCCCCCCTCCCCTCCATCAGAGGATCTAAAAGACATCACTACAATTTTGCTCTTTTTGATAGTAATAAGTTCAGAAAAGGGCCAAAGGTTAAGAGAAGAGATGAGGGCCACCCAAATTCAATGCAGTAAAAATATAGGTACGGCTTAGAGCCAATGAAGCACATAAAGAAAAAAGTTCAGAGAGTTTTTCGGTACGTATTCAAATTTTATAAGCACATATCATTATCATTTACCAACATACTTCAATGCCCAATAAAAAATAATAAAGCTAGCAGGTACTGTACAATTTACTACTCTATTAAACAGCTCCCCAACACTCCATATAAATTAAATGCACTATCAATGTCAACCAACTTGAAGCAGCTAAAACCATTTCTTACAAAATCAACTTCACTTGACAGATGAAAGATGGCCTGATTAGCTGGGGTCCTTATGTCTAAGACTCGGTAATTCAACCGTGTATCTTGGTTTACTCGAACCAGTTGCTTTCCATCCTGCATACATGTAAATAATTTTGATAAGCTTAATTTTTAATTTTCTTTAATTTGTAAGCAACAAAAGAATAGTATCAGGACACCAAAAATGTGTAGCTCATGTACATAGAAAACTAGGAAAAAATAACGGGGTACAATCACACTCTTACACCACCAAAGCACACTGTTTCATTTACAATATAAACCAAAGATAATTGTTGCTCACAATAAGCACCAGCTATCTGGCATCATTTGATTTTGGAGGGGGGACAATCAATAAGAATTGTAGGCAAGAACAACAAGGGAATTAAAAAAAGACTCAGTGGTAAGAACAGGTAAAAATCACAATGTAGTTCAGTAAATGTAACAAAAGTAACAGCTTTGATTGCGTTAGAAGAATGATATGAATATGATGCCTAAATAAAGAGATCAGACAAAAGTAGGAAATCAGGGATATAAGGACACTCAAGATGACTCAACAAAAACAGTAAGTGAAATTATTTGCACCAAAATGACCTCAGTGACATAAGGTAAGGTGTTGCAGTAAAAAAAAATTGATACCTCTATTTAGCTAATGAGCTAATCTCCCCCCCCCCCCTCCCCCCTTTTTTTCCTGCCCCAAATTTACAAACACCAGAAGGAAACTCTTTCCTTTAAAGACAAGATATTTCAGTTAAATACTTTTAGCCAGGGCCTTAAGTCTCTAATGTGCTTCTGTAAAATTTGCAGTAACACCACCTTTTTTGGATAAGGGTGGACAAGGTATCCTCTCAAGAAAGTACTAAAATAAGTTACAGATTAACCCAATTCCTTCATATCACCCTCATTGAATATAATCTGGGGAAATCCCGCACTGTCTTAGCCCATGAAGAAGCTAACAAAGTCACTTTAATCCATTAGCAAATAAAGGAGAATTCTCACTCAAAGAATCCATATTGGGTTTCCCAAATCACTTTGGAAAGCAACAATTTATGATCAATCCTTTCCAGCCAATCACACGACACTATTGCCATATATACTACCTCGTAGGCATCATCAAGAAGCATCTTCAAGTGGGTATCAAAGGCTCAATGAAATCCCACGGACTCCTAATAATCTTACATGTGCTTCCAAGTGCAAACAAGATTAAAATTGTATACTGAACAACCTTCGACTTCATGTGATTTGTCTAGTAACAACAGGTTCTTAATTCCACCAAACTATAGTGTTAATCATGCAACCAAGTGCAAAACAAGAGATAAAGCAAAACTTTAAGATGAAGTATTTCCAGCTTTCCAAGTCAATGATACTAAAGCTTTAGCTCTTAGCCTACTAACATCATTCTTCAATCTTCCCTTCATGAATCAATCTTTCTAAGTGTTTAGACTTAAGTTCAATTGTAACCCTTAAGTATTGTACTAAAGATGATAATACTCACGGTTGTTTGGTAGGTGGCTATAAATGATGATAATGGGAATGAATTTATGTGTAAATTGGTAAAGAAAATCAAGGTTCATTCCCATGATAATGCTAGCTCACCCCAAATTGACCATTTTTCTTAAGAAATTTCATTCCTACCATACCTCCTCCTAAGTGGTAATGGATAGTAATAAATAAATATAAAGAAAACACATGGTTGAAGATGAAAGTGCATTGCCATGGGGATTACAATGTTAATCTTCTTCCTAATTAACACTTAAAATCCATTCCCAATACCATCATTTATAATCAGCTACCAAAAAGGCCGTCAAGGGAAGAGATGATAGTACCCAGAGGATGAGAATATAAACAGCAAACTAATTGCTAAGGGTTCGTTTGACATCGCTGTGGTTTTCTTTTTTTTGTTTTTAGTTTTTCAAAATCATATTATATATGTCATATAATGAACCAAAAATTAGTCAAACTCATTAAAATCATGATAATTTTGAAAACTGACAACACAAAAGTGGAAACACCTTTTTCTTGTTTCTTGTTTTTGGTTTTTTGTTTTAAAAAAAACAGAAAAGTGAAAACGAAAAACGATGACAAACAAGCCTTAAGGGTGTTGATTTACAAAATTACAAGATTTGTATATCCTTGTCTCACCAAACTATAAGATCATTGATTTCGAGATTTTGGTTGGAATTCATGTTTCACAATAATAGGAACCAGTTCTAGTATATGACTATATGATGCTTACTTCAGATTGAGAATCATTACTTGTCATCTCGTTTCTTCGCTATTTGCAAAATAAGATACACCCAGTCAATAGACTTGCAAGATCAAAATTAGTAACTAGCTAATCAAAGGGCAAAAACATATATTCAAAGTTGAATAAATTAATGTAATATTGTAACTGGTTTAAAGAATAAAAAAATTAAACAAAATCCTTCTTTAAACTTTTTAATCTTTATCATTCCCTCAGTTTCTCATATATCAAGAATCTCTCCCTTCCTCGTCTTCTACAATAATTTACCATCATTTCCATATACACGAATTCTTAGTACACATATCCGTTTTCATAAGACTTCCTCTCCTGTATTCCTAAGGTGCAAAATTCTTATACTTGTAATTCTATACCGATGACCCCGATTACTACAAGACTACAAGTAATTAACAATAATGCATCCAATTAATCTTAAAACATCAAAATACGCAGCAAATAAGTAATAATTTACCTTCTCAGCTTTTTCAATCTCTTTTTCGCTCCTAGCTGCATCCTCGATACTGATCGGTAGTATAGGCACAGCTCTGTTAATACAATAAATCTTCCTCACCTGAATTTCAACCTACACAATTGACATAAACAATAACCAAATTCAATCCAAATTCCACAAATCTTCTCAACAATTACAACTTCACACCTCAAAACTAATCCCTAAATCACATTACCTGTTGAGAAGTGCCTTTCATGGCTTCACCAGGAACCGAAACGATTCCCGCAACATCAACAATCGATTCACGGCTCAATGCATTCGCAAACTTAACCATTTGCTCACTCACTTTCTCCTTCGCAACCATAAGAACACATTGAACCGTGAACAAACCTTCTCGAACAACAACGAACGCCATTTTCTTCGACACGGCTCGAATCGCTTGCACTCGTCCTCTGATAAGAATCTCCTCGTCTTTGAGATCGGAGGTGAGAGATTTCACCTCCGTCCATTTACGACCAGTGACGGCCTTCGATTGGAGCTCAATGAGCGGGACATCGCCGTAATTGTCGGCGAGAGGATCGGCGATTGAGGCTTCGGCGAGTGAGGCGGCGGCTGCTGCTGCTGCGGCTTCTTGCTTCTTCTTGAGCTTTTCTAGCTTTGCGGCTTCCTTTTTTGCTGCCTTCTTGCTTGGCTCCGCCGGTTGATTGGCATCTCCGGTGGCGGCGGGAGGCGGTGGGGCGGAGGTTTGGTCGGAGGAGGACATTGTTTGGGGTGGAGGAAGGTGGATGTTTGGAATTGGAGTATTGTGTAAAATTGTTGTGTTGGGAAACAGGGAAAGCGTATGCAATGGTATATATAAAAAGTGTAGGGTTTTGCTGGGGTGCTAGTCGAGTTGAGTATGTTGCGAGTAACTCGAATTCGACTTGGTCAAACCTCGGTCAAAACTCAGCTCGAGATGTTAACGAGCAAAAGTTGAGCAAGCTCTAACTCGACTCAATAAGCCCGTGAGCAACTCGATGATATATTTTACTAGGTTAGTTCTCGTATCATCTACGATAATAATCTATGATTAGTTTTTTTTTTGTAAGAATCTTATACTTAATTTTAAATAAACTATAGGAAAAATGGAAATTAAAAATCCAATCTTTGCACTTTCTTCTCTAAAAAAATCCAACCTTCATTTAATCCCACAAAAATCTAACCTTTATACCCCATCATCATCTAAAGATTCATTTACCTGTTGATGACGATTTTAGTAAGTTATATGCCACGTGTTACCTATTTTAGTAGGTCAATTAATTTTTTAATTATTAAAAACCTAAAATATTTAAATGTTAAAAAAAACAAAAAAAAAAATTAGAAAACCCAGCCCCACCCTCCTCCCCTGACCACCCCATCCCCACCGCCCACCGGAATCCAGCAACCCCATTCCCCTCTCCACCGGAAAACCCACACCACTCCCCCGCCGGCCAACTGCAGCAACACACACTACTCGCCATCTCCTCCAACAACCCAATGCTTCATCGCCTCACCTCAACTGCAAGCCACCTGCCTTACCACTAGTCGTCGCCCAACAATCCACACCAGCCCACACACATCTCTTCCCCCTGCAAATCCTACACGCATCACCTCCATCACTTCCAGCCAACATCGTTGCCTCCGCAACTCCCCTGCACCACTCCATCACACGCACAACAACCACAATCAAAACGCAACCACCAGCCACTGCACCTCAATTCCCCTAGACCGTCTAGCCTACCACCCACCAACAACAACAACAATTGGCACAATTAGTCAAATTGAAACTGATTATATTATTAGTCACCTGAAATTCAGTAACTTGTGTTAAAGTGACTGATTATATAATTGAAACTGATTATATAGTTAGTCAAATTGAAAATAATTATATAATTAGTCAAACTGAAACTGATTTTATAATTAGTCAAATTTTAAAACAAAACCTATATTATTTACTTTTTACAGTCAACTGACTAAATTGGTTATGAGATGGTTATAATATGCAAGTGGGTTTTAATTAGTGGCGGATCCAGGATTTCCGAGATAGTGTGTCACCATCAATTATTGATCACTTGTGAAAGTACAATATTTTTTTTCCATATCTTTTTCATAAGTAATTTCATCCAAAAATTATATATAAAAAAAAAATTATATTTCACCAAATTGATTTCAATCCAAAAAGAGGACACAAAAATCCATACTACAACCAAATAGTACTTAAGAATTCAATCTTACAAGTCGAAAATACTACGAATAACATGTTATAAACAAATGGCACTATAAAAACTATTATATTGAATTAACTTTATGATTTTTTAGTTAATTGATAAGCTTTATGGGAAAATATTAAAATTGGTTGCACAAATATAGGATATAAATAGGAAAAAAAATTATAAAAAAATTTTACATAAAAAAAGTGAGATAACTTAAGAGACCTGTTATTAAATATAACTGGTCTCTTTAATGAAAAAGAAATGCAATAGCAGCATCAAAGAGATCGCTTATATAAATAACCGGTCTGTTTAATATTAATAAATGTTGTAGCAATAGCAACATCAAAGAGACCGCCAATCTATAATAAGGGATCTCTTTGATATTTTTTTTAAAAAATAAAAATACTATGTCACAGGACCCACTATGACTAAAGGTGGGTCCGCCCCTGGTTTCAATGCAGAAAACACAAATCTAAAGAGATTCAAGTGCTTAATCTTATTATTTGTAGAACAAATCTCCACTACTTAGAAATTTACATTAGGTCAACAAAGAAAAAGAAATTTATTAGCTCACTTTATGCCTTGGGGAGTAGTCCAACCCTCAAATTAAGGTTCTACTTATGCCTTGGGGACTATTTGGGAGTAGTCCAACCTAATCGTCCTTTTTTCCCTTCAGAAGTGACTATTTACTAACTAAGGTAATTTTGTCCAGCTGAAACTTACTTCTTCATGACCCTATCATAACCTATTCGTACCCTATTCAACCTCTTCATGACCCTTGCTTCAGCTTTAACCTTATCTTTGCTTATTGATTGTACTCACTCACCATCAACCCTTATTTTCGTTTCAACCTTTTCCTTACAACCCTCTTACGAAATCCAACACTCACATGCTATGTTTGTCTTCGTTTCGCGGACAAGGTGTCATTATTCTTTAAATGAGAAATGAGCGCAATGTTTAAAAACAGCTTAAAATTTCGACCCTAGAAAAAAAAAACACAAACCAGCTTATAAGTCTATTAATTATATCAATGTGTGCTTAATTAAGCTAGCATACATATAATTAAATTAAGCTAGCAATAATTTAGTCTATTAATCATATCATTCAGCTAGCATACATATAATTAAATTAAGCTAGCAATAATGAAGGCTTTTAATCATATCATTCAGCTAGCATACATATAATAAAATTTAAGCTAATGTTAACCCAATGTTGACCACACCATAAATTTGAATAAGCAGCTTATAAGTATTTCTTGTAATCATATAATTATATCTTGTAATCATATAATTAAGCTAGCATAGAGGATTTAAAATCAGCATGCAAAATAATAATGTTATCATATAATGAAGTTACCAATGTTAACCAAATGTCGACTACACCATAAATAAGATAAAGCAGCTTCTAATTAATTCTTGTAATCATATAATTAAGCTAGCAATGTTAAACCAATGTCGACTAAACCGTAAATTATAAAAAACACCTTAATAATAGTTCTTGTACTCATATAATTAAGCTAGCAATTTATAAACACAATTTCACTAAACCATAAATAATAAAAACTTTTAATCCTCCGTCTATGCAAACCACCAAGTTGTAAGGTTGCTAATTGCGAACAAATGGAGTTCTGATTCTTTTTCATTGTTAGAATATGATTTTGATACTTTTGGTTTCCCTTTGTTGATGATGACGAGTAGTAATGTATTTCAATTCACTGGTGGGGTATTGGAGAGGGGAGAGAGTGCTGGCTTATACCCTATGATATGTTGGATTAACGTGCTTGTGGTCTAATTTAGAATGTTCTAGATAGTTTACAAACACGTTATTTACGATAGTGCCCTTAACCCTAAACCCTTACTTCTTAACCCTTAACCCTAAAACCTAATCCCTAAAACCCTAAATCATTAATCATCGTCTCTAAACACAATAAACCGTTAATCCCAATGTCGAGCCTATAACCCGTTAACCAAAACAATTATACTCTTATATTATCATATAAACCAAATTTACACCCTAAACTCGTAGATTTGGTGTAAACTTTTGTTGTCTAGATTATGTAATAGAGAACAAGACATATAAATCATAGTGAAAATAGAAAATATAGAATACCGAATATTTAAGACACTTCATCATAAGGGGCGAATATCATGATCTAAGTTCATCTTTAAATCAAATTATTATAATTATCATTATTATATGTATATATAACTATAACAATTTAATTATAAATACACCCTAAACCCTTTAAACCATAAGCCCTCTTTAAACCCTAAACCCTAAACCCTACCATACTCTCTAAAACTAAACCCTCTAAACCCTAAACCCTTTAAACTCTAAGTCATTAACCCTAAAGACACAATACTGATAGACACTGAACCTCTAACCTTTTACTGATCCCTAAACCCCAAAACTCAAATTCTTCCGGGATTAGTTAACCATGTCAATCTTGAACCCTAGACCGTATATCATTGAAGATAAGTTGTTTAATTTTAGCTTTCATCAAGATATTATATTGTCTACTTAATTCTTCTACATCAGTACATGGTATACTAATTTACATATCTTTACATCAGTACATGGTAACTAATTTACATCAATACATGGTATACTAATTATTACGTATGAAGTACACGATCGTTAATCCCAAATTAAAACCAAAAGCCACATAAATCGTTGTCTAATGACTTTCATTAACTAGTACAAGTCATCCATCTTAGAAACTCAATGATCAACGGTCATTATTATGCCAAAGCAAAATATAACACGGATTGCTACAATGCATGGAAATTTGGATTGCATTTGTAGTAAACACGGATTGCCCACCTTGGAAGCAGGTTTGGATTGTAGACAAAAAATATGCTAGGTTTGTTTTAGTTGGCATTCAACTATTTTCCTTCCTGTAGTAACTACTCTCCCTGTTCCTAAATTTTTGCCCCATTATAAAAATTTGGGTCAAATTTTATAAACTTTGATCATAAAATACTCTTAATCTATAAGTGTGAAATTTTGTTGGATACGGCTTACTGTACATTTTATTGATATTTAATTTTTATAATTTTTACACGTGTGAAAATGGAGATATAACCGTTTTAAGACGCTTGTTGGAGACCGCAAAAAGTCAAATGAGACAAAAAATTAGGGACGGAGGGAGTATTATCCTTCATTTGTAACCAATGCAGTAAACAACAGTACACTACATTCTTTATCAATAAATAATGATTCCATACAGTCATAGATTGTACTTCATATCCATTCAAATTTGTAGTTCCTATAATTTGTGTACCTGTCTTACATTGTTGTTGTTATGTACTAGTAAATTGAAGAACGATATTGTTTGAATTTTTTAATATTTATTAAAAATAAATTTTGCATCTGTTATTAAAAATTATTTTGAATATTTTATTATTACTAATTAGTCAAAAATAAACCAAAAAAAAAATGTTTTTTTTCTTAAATAAGTTATTGTTATTCCTAAACCCTATTATTATTGTTATTCCTAAACCCTATTATTATTGACGATTGATTTCTCTTTTAATTAAAAAATAACATTAAAAAAATAAATTAAGTAAGTCTGCCATGTGATTAACGACTATATATCGCCTTTGGACA